ATTTAATTTTAAATATATCAAATAATAATTTAGCGAAAATTTTATCATATAGCTATACCTACAAAAATACGAATCGAATCGAATAATGGAATTATTCGTATTCCTTTAAATCGATAATTTATTATTCGTATTCGTATGAATAATAAAATGATTATTCGATTCGATTCGAAAATTTTATTTACCATGAATTAAAAAAGATCTATTATAAAATTTATTTTGTAAAATTTAACTAAGGATAAAGACAAACAAATTTTATTAGTGAGACAAAATAGAAGCATACGTATATAATATATTTATATACAATGTGGAAAAATCAATATAATATTCATATCTATAATGTAGAAGATAAATCTGACAACAGCCAATTTTTCAAACATAAAGTTTTTCGGATTGTTTCCTCCTTTAACGACATTCTGTATTTGGTAACCATATGAGCTCAACAGAAAAGAGTCGCTCACATGGGGTTGAAGATCCCTGTATCGACAATATGTCCCTCGCCATTTTTAGTTTCCACCATTCTAGTGGGTTTTTATTTGACGTTATTCTCACTTCTTTCAAATATGTGTCAATTTCAGAAATTGGCATAACATTCTGTTTAAAAATGACATCCATATTTGATTGTATTAAAGGTTTACTTTTTGATACATCATATTTAATTTTATATTCATCAAACATTTTCTCAAAATTATTAGATATAGTTGTACCGTTTATATTATAAGATATAGGTAGGCACTCAAAAAATTCCAGTTTAAGTCTTGGATCTAATATTGCAGATATAATTGTTTGGAAATCTGTTAAATTATAATATGATACTATTTTTTGTTGCACATTAATTGCGTTTATAAGCGTATTATCAAAGAGACTTAGGTGCTCAATTAATGATATATAAAAGGGGATGACCAGATTAAGTGTAGGATATGTTTCTCCTGATATGGCAACAGTAAAATCATAAAATGTTTTTAAGTTTAAATGTATTCTTTCTAAGGCGGTCCATTCATCCTATATTAAAAAATAAAAATTAGATTTAAATATAAATAAATACTTCACTAAGTTGTTTCTCTTGAATAATAGATATATCATAACTATTAATAACGACATGATCTATAGCTTTTCTCATTTGTATTGCTCGTCATCATAGAATATGAGCTGTTCCATCTGATAGGTGTATCTAATTTTAACTTCAAATATGTAATAGATGGAATTTGTGAATTACAAAATTCTTTCATCATAGTAGTTTTCTTATAAGAATTTCGAATGCTTTTTATAGTGCCTCTTAATTTTATTAATTGCTCATCAATTTGTTTTATTATTTCTTGAACAAGATTTAAAACATGTGCAAAACAGCGAATATGTGCAATTTTTGATCTTGGATTTTTAATTTTAAGGGTATTTATAAAGGTAGTGTTTGATGCGGCATTGTCGCATGTAATAGCCGTTGACTTTATATCTATGCTATAATTGTTAATGATTCTATAAAATGTCTTATATATGTTTTCCCCAGAATGGGAATTTGTAAAAGGAACAATGTCTAATAATATAGATTTTAGTACCCATTCATCATCATTGTAATGGCAGGTTAATCCCAAGAATGGGACATTTGTTGGACTTGACCAAATATCTATTGTAAAATTTATTTGTGTATTAGATTTGTTTATTATCAATTTAATTTTTTGGAATTCATTATCAAAAGATTCATTAATGTATTGTTTTAATGTAGGAATTGAACATATTTTAATGCTAGGATTTAATGCTTAAACAAAACCTTTAAATTCATTTGTTGCAAGAATTTTAAATGGGATATTAGATTTGATCAAAAATTTTAATAAATGGTTTTTGATATCATTATTGTTGTGCATATGATTTTTATTTATATCATCATCAAAATATGATTCAATAAATTTATTATTATAAGTTTTTTGATGGAATCGTTTGTAATGATTAATCAAAGCTGAAGAAGTTTTTTTTACACTTAATTTCAACCCGACAAATCTTACATCTTGCAGTTTCTATTGATGCTTGGTAAATATAATGTTTCCAAATATCTGCATTTTTCCGTCCTCCCGAGCCTGACTGTATAGAATTTGAGGTGGATGATGAATATTGGCTTTGTTCTCCAATGCTTTCTGATTCAGAAATATCTATTATACCAATAGGTTGAATATCTATTTAATAAATTAAATATTATTATAATATTTATAGCATAGCCAGCCAACCCAATATGGCAATCAATAAGTTAGTCAGTAATATATATATGTCAAAATCATCAGATCCTATAATCATCATATCGGAATTTTCTTATAAAATATTTTTTACAAACTGCTCATACAATTGATAAATTATCCAAAAATGTAGATGAGATGATAGCTTATAAAAAATTTATCACAAAATTATAATATATATTTTAGTGAATTTGGATATAAATGAAAAATAAAGTTTTAAGTTTAAAAATACTATTTTAAATTTTATATAGATTTACTTATAAAATATTTTTTACAAAAATGATTTGGATTTATAGGTTTTAATTCCAAACACTGTTCATAAAATTTAATTATATTGGGAAAAGAATCAAGAATATATAAAGATAATATAAATTTTTGTGAATTTTGATTAATAGTAGAATAATGAAAGTTTTTGATTATTTGATTTGGGCAATGAGAAATTCCTACTGAGATTCAATGATGATCTTTAATCCCAAACACTACTTTGTTGTTATTAACATAAACTAAAATAATATATAAGTCAAAGTAATATTCTTTTTAATGTGGGGAAATAATAAATTGTCAAAAAGCTCTGCAACTTAAATAAGTACGAAAAACTCACATTAGCAATATTTTACAAATAAAGTGGTAAAAACTTTAGGCAAAAAGTCAAATTTATGATTTCTCCATCATCAAATGAAAGAGAAATATCAGGTTTGCCCGTCATTCTTGATGTGATGGGATTAACAGTTTATTATAATTGTATATGTTATATGAATTACCTTCTTCGTCCATCTCTATCATAAAAGAAATTTCTAATATTATGAGATAAATTAAAATGGAGTTTCAAAATTTGGCGCAATTTTCAGTATTCCACTAGGAGATTATTTCAAATAATTCCTAATAATAATATATGATTTATATATGATTATTTTCCAATATATATTAATACTATAAATTATTTTAGTCGAATAATCTTGAATAATTCGATCGAATAATAGATAAAAAAATTATTCGACGAATAATATATTTTCCTTATTCGAATTTTCGAATCGAATAATTGTGTTATTCGTATTCGTAAAATACGAATCGAATCGAATATCGATTAACAAATAATTCGTTTTAGGTATACATATAGCTCTCTGTATTAGCCCTTTTACATAAAATTTTTTATAGTGAAATCTAGCTTATTATAAGAAAAACCAGAAATAGGAGGAAGTGGGCACTAACTGCTTTTTTTCTTTCAAATTTTTTATAAATGGACACACGACTGCTTAATATATTTACAAAATCTTACACTGAGAAGAGCATTTTTCCAAGAGTTATTTATTTAAAATATACAGTAATTTTTTTCAAAATTATGTCAAAATAACCAAATAAAAATAATTATATAATGTTAAATAATTATTTACTAAAGAAACTCAGAGTGTTATGAAGATATATTTTGCATTCCTAAGACCTAAAAACTACACTTAGCGAATGAGTATGACACATCATGTATATCTGCACCTGTCATCAAAATTTTAAATACATTATAATTGCTAAAAAATTTAATTAGCAGTGAATCATGATCTCCATCCTCCTATAAAGGAGTATAAACATTATATCCAAAGTCTTTGTATTCGAGCTCAACTTTGCTGTTATTTGCAGAAACCATATCTCTTTAACCTTTTGATCTTACCTGCCCTAACATAGTCCAACAGGTTGGCTAATTTTTTGTCTTATGACAGGACTGATATCTACTCCACTAGAAATTATTATGACATTAAAGACCTCTATCACTAGTCAAGTTTTTTTTAAAAAACATGATCTTTTACTGATCAAAAAGAACTAATTTTGTAATGCTGATATGCTATTATTTATGTATACTGATTAAATATTAATTTTATACGGTTAAAAATGAAAAAAATATGCTGATTAAAAAATACTCATAATATAATGGAGGTTTTAGTTATTCGCCTTTCTTATTCTGCTGAGTATTATGGTGTTCCATATTGACTTTTTAACCTTTCCACAATAAAAATGTTTAAATATAATAGCATTATTACATTGTGATCTCTTATACACGAAATATATTTTTTTAAAAAGGTACTGAACAAAAAAAATGGTTATAACACTATAATATTCAGCCAAAGATATCATATTTAGTCCATTACAGTATTAATCCAAATTTATCTAGAATATTTAGCCTTTTGTCATTAATCGATCCTAATTCCTAATTGAATCGTATATATATAAATAGTTGGAAAATATAGTAGAAATAGAAGGAATATATCTTATTTATCGATCATTTATAAATGTTAATCTATTCTAAGATTTTGATTATTACTTTTACTGATGATTATATACTATAATATAAATAACCAACTTATAAAACTGTGGCAATATCCATTAGTAAAAGCCATTTCATATACTTTATCGTCACGCTATATACTAGGAATACCTAAACTTAGGAAAAGTTTAATCAAAATTAAAGGAATCGACTTAAGACCCATATATCAACAGCTACAAATACCTTCTCAAAAACTAACATAATTTTTAGAAATGTTTAATCAAAAATAAAAAGGAATTGACCTAAAAATATTAACAGCTACAAATACTTTCCCAATAACTAGCCTAATTTTTAAATGTTGCGTCAATAATATCGCTCATTATCAGTATTTATTTTGACAAAATTTTTGGACCACCTATTTAAAATATTAATTTCCATGCCTTTTAATTAAGCAATGATCCCTTTTTTGCAATATCAAAGAAAGAAATTGATATAATGAGATATATATATTTATTTACATGTATGTTTAGGCAAAATTTCGTCAGAGGCGCGGAGAGTATGGGTGGGGCCTCGTTCGCTGCTTATCATAATGGGAAACTAGTAGCTGATCTATGGGGAGGATTCGCTAACATCAAAGGTTAACTACATTAGCTTTCTCTTCTCTTCTCTTCTCTTCTCTTCTCTTCTCTTCTCTTCTCTTCTCTTCTCTTCTCTTCTCTTCTCTTCTCTTCTCTTCTCTTCTCTTCTCTTCTCTTCTCTTCTCTTCTCTTCTCTTCTCTTCTCTTCTCTTCTCTTCTCTTCTCTTCTCTTCTCTTCTTCTTCTCTTCTCTTCTCTTCTCTTCTCTTCTCTTCTCTTATAAAGTATAAACATTGCATAAATATAATGTAGCTTTTAATATTCTTAAAATTGTTTTTATGTAGGTAAAGTATTTTTAATCTACATTTTAAATTTATTAGAAATTAGAATCCGTAATCTTAAATCCAAGATTCTGGAACTCTTTTTTTCCAAACCCGTATCTAACATGGGCCCAAAAATATTTATGTTTATTAACCGGAACCCGATTCCCTCCCTCCTTTAATTTTTAGTCGTTTTATGAATGATTTCTTCAAAACAAAATTTTAAAAAAAATTAGGTGACATCCACACTTGATTTTTTGTTTTATCCTAATGCAGTAAGATACTGTCCTAACTTGATTTTTTTTTTAAACAGTAAAATTTTAGTAATAAAATTAGCTATTGAAAGGGTTGTACCTCGTATAAAAAAATGAACCATATTATTTTTATTTTATACGAGAGAGATTTTTAAACAAAAGGATTATAAACTGGCTCTTAAAAATAACATCAAAAGATTTTATACGAGCTCAGAATTTTAAGCAATCTCGTATAAAACTGAAGGCTCTTTTTACAATAACCTACAAACCTCATTCTATTCGATCCATAGTTTGGGTAATTTGTCACTAATTTTTATTTTAGCCGACCCGGGTTCGGTCTGACTGGATTCACTTAAATTCAACCCCATTTGAAAAAAATTCTGAACCTTGACCCATACCGATTCCGGTATAGGATTGTGAAATCACTATCATTAATAGAATTACTATGGTAGTGATCAATAGTCTTTCCCCTAAGTCTGTCGACAAGATTTTTTTGTACTAGCGAGACGTATTTTATCGATGTTAATCCTAAATTTTTAGTATAATAAATTTTCCAGAATTTACCTTTTCCTTTTAACAATATTTCATTCCTATATCGTCGCTTTAATATTTAAAGGAGGCCAAAAATCGTTTCTAGGTTCACTTTTTGCTAAAAGAAGCATTAAAAATCGTTTCCAGCAATACGATTATTATTGGCTTGAAGATACTCTGACACACACACTTTCTGCCACTAAAGGTTTTTTTATATTTATTTTAATACTTGTAATTAGTGATCCTCATTGGGCCTAATTTACCAAGTCCGGCCCGAAATTTATTTTAAAAAATTTGTTCGGCCATTCCCGACCCCGAACGAATTTTTTTATTTGTCCGGAAAAGCCTTACCCGAAATAAAAATTTGTCGGCCCTGCCCGAATTTATTTAAATATAGAAAAATTTAATATTTTTTTATTGTAAAAAAAATATTCTACAATTAAAAAAATATTAGCGCCTTGTTAAGAATTTTAAAATATAACAATTTATTTGACAAAATGTAATTATATCATATTTAAAATTTAAGCCCCACCCGGCCCGGTTAAAATAATTAAAAAAATATTAGGCCCGATTCAGTCCGAACTTAAATTATTTTCTAGAAATCGGGCCGGGTACGGGTCGGGCCGTGATTTGCAGATATCTACTTTTAATTATGTATTTAGTATTTGCAATTAAAAAGAAAACATTATAAAAATATATTGAATTAAAATTTAATGTTTTAAAAAGGAAATATGACAATAATCAACTTCAAATGTTACTAATAAATAATAAAATATATTTTTTTCGAAATTCTCTCGGAAATTAAGTGATAAAAAAATAACTACCTCAGCATCATTTTAAATTAGGTCCCCAAGTTACCCAATTCAATTACACAGCTGTCTTTATAAATAACATCATCATTACTATGAAATCAATACTTTAAATTAAAAGAAAAAGTAGGGTATAACGATAATGAGTTTAACTCTGAACTTTAATGATCACAATGCACTTTTAAGTTAAAGGTAGTTTTCCTTTATTTTGAAATCAAATTATGGAATTAACTCTTTTCAAAGATAGCCATTTCAATATACTTCTTAACTAATAAAAAAATAATTAAATTAATCTAGCCAATTTAAAATATATCTTTTGTTTGGATCTTTTTCACTCTTCTTTTTACCATGCGTCATTAATTTTATGAACAATCTGAATGTTGAGTGGTAAAAGAAAATTAAGAATTCCCAAGCTGAAAATTGGGAAATATGATAGAAAAGTATATTAATTTATAATAATAAATAAAATGATTTGATACTTAAAAGTGTTTGGGTAATTAAACGTAGTACGACATTAAAATAAAAATTAACCTTCACATTAAGTATGAGACCAGCAATAATTATTTTGTGTTTATATAGGTATGGCGGCCTTAGTTATAGGTCACCTTCAAGACAATAACAAGCTCAACATAGATGACCCGGTGGCTAAGTATTGGCCTCAATTCAGAATCCATGACAAGGGAAATATCACTATAGCTCATATACTGACCCATACAGTAAATTATTAAACTATAATTGGATATATTTTAAGAATGAAAAAAATGTTGTTCTTATATCAATTATCAAATTATTAGGTGTATCATATTATTGTTATTCTATTTCTCATTTATATTTAAATGACTATATTTAAAAAGTTAAAATTGTATGATCTTATATATTATATTATTAAATATCTATATTTTTCGGGCATAATTACTCAAAATTTGTAATTAATTACAATTACTAATTTCTTTTCTAAAACGGCGATTATTTATAATTACGTGAAAACGTGATTTTCTCGGTAATTATAATTAAATAATTACAATTCCTAATTAAATAATAAATTAAAGTAGGATTTGATTATAAATCATAAAAAGTAACGCGAAACTTTCATATAATATAATTATAATAATATTTTATTCTTAATTACAATTTTTTTATGTTTGAAAAATATAAAGGTTTTACTCGTTTAATATAAATGAATATCATAAGACATTTGCATATAAATTATTATGAACATTATATTTATACATTTAATGTTTAGAAATGCAATCAAATTCTGTTAAAAAATATATCATTTATGATGCCTAAATATAAATAGATTATTTTGGGCATTAACATTTGAAGCTCTTTTCTACCCTTTAATATATAAAAAAAACGTTTGATTTTTTTAAGGTATCAATCTTTCAAACATTTCATTATTCATGTTCTATTATACTTATATAGCAAAGTTGCATAGATGAAGACAACAATGAATTATACTTCAAAATTCTTCTCTCATATTAATATGACCTCTATTATCTTTTGGGTAAGTAATCACTTCAAATTCAATATCATTAAGTCAAATTTGAGGAAATTATTATGATTGTTTTTGACAATCTCGGATCTATGGACTTTTAGATTTAGAAGTATTTATTAAAACAACTTCAAATATTATTAACGTATATCAGTTTGTTTAGCTATTGATTCAACCCAGGGTTGGCAAGTCGGTCAATTGACCAGTCAAATTCAGTCAATTGACTGGTCAATTGACCCTAGAAGTATTTGACCTGTCAAATACGGTCAAATACTCTAAAAAATTTAAATGAAAAATAAATTAAAAATATGTTTAAAAAAGGGAAAAACGATGTAAATACATGTGATCACAATGTTTGCTTATTTTTTGTGTCCACAATATCAAGAGGAAAACTCACAAGTATGTGATATAATTCAAGAATTAGCTATTTTACAAGGTAGTGATGACTAAAATATTTTAAGTGATATAATTAATTTCAGAAGCAAAAACAGCATGTTTAATATAGCAAATTATGTGGAAAGTAACCAGAAACAATCAATTCCGACCTAGTTAATAGATTAAACTTTGTCCACCCTGCCCATTAAGAGACTAACAATTCCTAGTTCTACTTCTCCTTTAGAAAGAAATAGGTCGATTTGCGTTAATATTCTTATGAAAATGGAAATCGATTGAAGATCTAAGACATCAGGAAAATTGATTAAAAAATATTAAAGAAAATGATAATATTGAATATGAATCAGAACAAAACTCTGCTACAGAGAGCTACATGTTAGTTATTGAATGACAATGAATTTAAAAAATTAATATTATAGATTCATTTTACTATTATATTCAAAATAAAGTTAATATTAACTTAAAAAAACATATATTTGAATTTGACCCCATTTGACCGTATTTGACCATATTTGACCTGTCAAATATCGGTCAATTGACCGAAACGTATTTGACCGGTCAAATGCACAACCCTGATTCAACCCATCTAAGCTTTAAATTTTTAATGGATATAATAGCTAAGAAAAGAGGTTTTGCTTTGCAATCAAATTCTAAAAAATTTGAAAATCTTTATTTAATTCCTATAATTATAACCTTTAAAATGGTCGCACAATTATGCAAGGCAGAGTTTTACAGTTCTAATAATTTATTTAGTACAAAATAATAGTGGAACTAGCTCCCAATAATAAGAATTATTTTTTTCCTGCAATTTGTCTAAGGAAATTGCTATGGGGGATAAAATTTTAGAGGATTCTTGTATAAATTCCATTTTTAAATTTAACAAATATGAATGAATGATATTACGCGTTTTTCGTAAAAATTAATTAAATGAAAAATGAATTATAAATGCAACTAAGTTCGCGAGTTCGAGATGGCCACCATGATATATAATGAGTGTGGTAGCAGATTTACGGATTATATTAATAGACTAAATCTTTTTTTATTTTTTAAAATGTCAAAAATAAATCTTTCATAAAATTACATTATTAAATATCAAAAAATAATAATCTTTATGAATTACATTATCTTTTTTAATTCAAATTATTATATTACAAAGTTTATTATTTTCATTCTTTATATAATAAAAATAACATGTAACAATTTCTCATGAGCATAATTCAAAAATAACAGTTAAACATAAGTTAGTGTTTGGTTAATGTTAAGTTTTAAAATTTGAATATCAGTAATATAATTTGATTGATCAATAAGAAAATTATAAAAGTAGATTCAGACATTACATCAAATTTAAATTTTCTGAATGTCATATAAATAACTAGGATTAGATAAACTAATGTTTTATTTTGCTAATAATTAAAATTAAATAAGCTACTTTAACAGTAATTATGAATTATAACTGCTTTTCCTAATTAGTTACCTAAAAATGTAATTAATTAAAATTATTAACTCCTTTTAATTGAATGAAATTAATTTCATATGTAATTAATTACTACCTAACCTTTATATTTTTGTATATTTCGAAAACTTAATCTTTTATTATATTTTTAAATAAATCATATTTTCGTTAAATTATTTGTTTTTAAATTAGATAGAATAGTTAGTTTTCGATATATAATAAAATTTAAATTATGCTTTTTGCTCATAATATCCAGAGATATTTAAATTAAAGGATAAATTTGACAAAGTGCCTTTTTGTCTTTTATGGGCCCATTTCTCGCTTCTGGTTGAAGTTACAGGATAACATATTAATCTAGTATTCAGTGTCTTGTTGAACCTCCTCGCTTATTTGATCTTCGTTTTTCTATAATGTTCACTCGGACATATACACAAGGTAAGAGTATTCACCATTTTTACGACTCAAGCTCGGGTTCAGGAGGAACCCATCTTTAAACCCTACCTGACTTCCTTAATGCTATCGAATGTCAAATAATTTTTTATTAACTGCGCATTTTTTCCAATTATATCGTGAAAAATGATTATTTATACAATAATAACCATCAAAGTAGTAAAGGTAAATAAAATATATTTCAAAAGGCCGGCCTACCTTACATTGATCCATCACATCCAATTACCTTCAAGATGCTCAAGGAAAACAGTATTTACACGGAAGGGAACACACTTAAAGACCTTGATACCGAGCTTAGCAAAATTTTAGCTGACCAAAAACCCGCCTGGTCCCCTCCAGGAATTAAAAGAGGTTACCACGTTTTTACATTAGGACTTTACCTCGATCAGATTGTAAGAAGATGCGATACACCGAAAAGGAGATCCATTTCAAGATACTTTGATGACGAAATCGCCAAAAAATTCGGTATTTATTTGTTATATTGTGTTTAAATAAAATGCGCAAGGTGTCTAGTAATTAATATTTATTTCTGCTTTACAGGGTTATTAATTTATAATGTGTAACATTAATTTTAAAAATAATAATTCGAATATTATAGTTTATTTTTTTGTCTAAACTTTTTCTCACAGTTCTTATTTCGAAACAACGTTATTTGATTTCACAAATTTTATATGATTTTGATTTTTTTTTAAAAAAAGATCATTTTGGACTAATCTTTATACACATTTTATCTGAAACTATTATTTATCATTAAAAAAAATAATTTCTATTTGATTTTTTTAGCTTAACGATAAAATGTGCAAAATTATTTTTAACTATGATGTACAAAAAATATCTTGATATTTTATTTATTGTTCAATTTGAAATTAAAGTTTGTATCCGGAAACCTCAGAACTAAAGGTGAATTTATAGTAAACGCGTTATATTTAAATGGTACGTTATTTAACGCAGGGTTATTTACAAAATGAAGACAATAAATAGTTATTATTTATAAATATGAAGAATTAGCTTGCATTCACAGTTAGCACAAATTCGCGGCAATTCGTGTGCAGGGTTATGATGATATCCCTACCCTACGATAAAATTTGAAAAAGAAATGTTGTAATGCGATGATAAAAAATATGTGAAACGATTATAAAAATAATAGCGAAATTACTAGTATTGTTAAAAGTTACTTTGAGATATAACTAGTTACAGTTACTAGTTACTTTTTGCAAATGTAACTAGTTATTAGTTGCAGTTATATTTCAAAAGTAACTACATATAAGTTACTTTATATATCATTCAATAACGCATTATTTATTTACTGAATGCATTTATTTAATATAAAAAAATTATGATATAATTATAATCAATTATTTGAAAAAATATACAATTTATTTATATAAAAAAATAATTAAACCGAAAAAAATATCGGAAAATAGAATTTATTTATTAGAGACCTGCAGGCCCGGCCCTAAGCCCGGTCCGGGTACACAGGCCGGGCGGGACGTATTTTAATTTTTTTTAAATTATACTCAAAAAAAAATATCCGGGCCAGGCCTGAAAATTTTTCTTATTAGTAAGTAATGATAACTAATTTAGTAGTTTATTTAAAAATTATTTAATTCTAAAATAATCTAAGTCTTTGTCGTTCCTTATACTAAGTTCTATGATCTAATTTAGAAAAATTTTTAAAAAAATACAGGTATTACTTATGAAATTCCATAAATATTACCAGCAACTTGAGGGCAAAAAATATGGAATATATTGTGCTAAATTGGTTAAAAAATATTATATTAAAAAATAGGTTTATTAATTGAATTTGGTTAAAAAACTATGAAACCCAGCAATGTAACAATTTAAGAAAAGAAAATCTATTTGGATGAGAAATTATATTATTGTTGCATATCCTTTGTGAACTCAATCAGACATTTAAACAAATTTTAAAAACAAATTTATTTTAAAATTAATTTATCACACCCTTGAATCGGTCTGCCCACCTGAAAATTTTATTGTAGTGGACAAAACTAGCTTTACCCACCTAGATTCACCCATTTTGAAAGTACTATATTTCATTACAGAGATGAATTTCTTGTCAAATTCAATCGAATGTAAAATATTTTAAAAAATTTACCTGCTCATCAGGTTTTTTATTTATTTAAATATTTTTTATTCATTTATAAAATTTTACATGCCTTTCGTTCATCAACAATTTTCATGTCCCTTGAAATATTATTAGACCTTGAGGTTCATTAGAAAAATACTCTCGAATCTATTTTAAATATCAAATTCTCTTTACTCTTCAGTATGCAAGCTACCCTTCCACAAAAGCTAGGTGGTATAAGTCCATTCCCCCATATCCTTAAGCATTTCAGCCTTTTTATCCTTAGTTGCTAAATTTCCATAAACACTTGGAGACTGGGATACTATCGAATCCACATCATATGGCAGCATTAAACCTCTGGAGCAAAGATTCTCCAAGCCGCTTATATCCAAATTTAAGACAAAGAGACTGGAATTTACCATTAATACAGTAATGTGTTGAATACTTACACTTCAAAGCTGTTCAAAGAAATTTCCATCGCTCTTTCTCCCTTTAAACCCAACCCCGAGTATAATGAATGACAACAATACGACTCTTGTTAGATCAACTATTTCCAGCCTCAGCCATATGCCACCTTGGTTACGAATGCTTAAAAACTATACCTAGTTTTAATTAGGCTTGTTTATTAACCAACAGAACTTAGAATAGCTATAGGTCTTCGTTTTGTGAAATCGTAACGCCGACATTGTGTCAACACTAGAAATTACATTATAAGTTATTAATATTTGTTATAAACAGAAGATATATATTATTAAATATTATCGCTATAAAGAATCAACTTTGATTTAGATAGCCTTAAATAACGCAATGCTTGAACATAGCGCGTTTACTATAAATTCAGCGTAATCTAAATTTGTAAACTGGATAGAAAACTAAGATTGAAATGATAGGGATCAGTTAAAAAATTTAGTATCTGGGAACCAGTACCTTTTTAAAAATATTTCTTTTAGCTCAATTACTAACTCTGGCTATAAATACCTTTGAATAATAGTTTTCCATTTCATATTTTGTGTCAGTTAGTTCACGCGTTCCGATACCGGAACGCCTTGTATTTAAATATCCGAATATCTTTACTTACAGGGTTTCCCATTTAAAAAAGGAAAAGCCCCATTCAAAAAAAGGAAAAGTTTCAATCATAAAGAAAAGGTCCGATTAAAAAAGGAAAAGGGTCAATCATAAAAGGGAAAGGTTCAATCAAAAAAGGAAAAGGTCCAAACAAAAAAGGAAAAGTGTCAATCAAAAAAGGAAAATTCCCAAAAAGAAAGGAAAAAGTCCGATTAAAAAAGGAAGTGTCAATCGAAAAAGGAAAAGTGTCAAACAAAAAAGGAAAAGGTCCAATTAAAAAAGGAAAAGTGTCAATCAAAAAAGGAAAATTCCCAAAAGAAAAAGTGTCAATCAAAAAAGGAAAATTCCCATTCAAAAAAGGAAAATCGTAATTTTTTTAAATTTTTCTTATCTTTATTTATTTTTGTCATTCCTTCTTATTTTATTTCTAACTTTTTATGATTTCTTTACTTTATATGTTGTATCTTTTCTCAATTTATTTTTCTTCTCATTTTTGATAATTCTTTTGTATTTTTAAAAATAATTTATAAATTTAGGTCCATTTTTTAAACAATTCTTTACGTTTTTTTATCATTACATATGTCGTAATTTTTAAAGGGATCATAACTATCCGGAATCTTCACGGGATTTAAAGGGATCCCTTTAAAATTTCAATTTTTTAAAGGATAAAGAACTATACGGCATTATCACGTTTGAACCATGAAATAGAAGAAACTTAAAAAGCGTTTTCCGCGCGTTTCGTTTCGTTTTTTAATTTTATTATTCATTAATTTTCAATGTTGTTTTTTTTGCCTTATGAAATAAGATATGTCTAATATAGGGTATCAATCGATAGCTAATCAAAAGATCTATGCAACTGGAGGTCAATCTCTCTCCTATAATGGGCGGGTCTAGGTTTTGGGGGGTCAGAAATATTTTTATTAACACAAAATATCGATATGGGTATCAAATAAAAGCTAATTTGGTTTGACTGGAAGTCTTCATTCTTTGTCTGGATGGGTATGATTTAGTCTAGGAATGGGGAGGGGGCGTAAGGGGGGGGGGGTGTATAAAATAATTTTTTTTGATATGGGTATTAAATAAAAACTAATTTTAATATGGTTTGACTGAAAGTCTTTATTCTTGGTCTTGATGGGTATGAATTGGTCTGGGAATGGAGGGGGGTGGGGGGTGTAAAAATATTTTTTTTGATATGGGTATCAAATAAAAGCTAATTTTAATATGGTTTGACTGAAAGTCTTTATTCTTGGTCTTGATGAATGTGACTTGGTTTGGGTGGGGGGGGGGGGTGGAGGGGAGTGGGTGTAAAAATAATTTTTTTTGATATGGGTATCAAATAAAAGCTAATTTTAATATGGTTTGACTGAAATTATTTATTTTTCGTCTTGATGGTATGACTGTCAGTCCCTCCCTCAACATATTAATAAAATGTCTAGTTGGATAGAATTTACAGAAATAAAAGAGAATGAAGATAAAAAAAAAATTTAAATCTTTTTTCGGTTCCAATCCTGAACATAAAATTTATAATTTACAGTGTTCTATATTTAGCGCGTTATTCCATAGCTATTTTTTTTAGTATCGATAGCTTTAGCGTGCTACATTTTTTTAAAAAGAGAGATAGCGGTAGCTCGTCACTAAATAAATAGCAAAAATTATTATAATAATTTAATTCTAAAATTATAATCTTTTTATTTTATCTGTACCAAAATTACCTTCATTATCAATGTCTACTGTCAACATTTCAAAATTATTTTTTTTTGAAAAATATATTTACAATGCATATTTTTAAATGTAAATTTAGATAAATAAAATAAAAAGAATATGATTTTAGAATTAATTATAAAATTATTATAATAATATTTTATTTATTTAGTAACGAGCTCTTTTTAAAAAAGGTAGCACACTAAAATTATCGATACTAAAAAAATAGCTATGGAATAACGCGATAATTATAGAACACTGCAAATTATATATTTCAAGTTCAGGATTGGAACCGAAAAAAGATTTAAAAAATTGTTTTATCTTCATTCTCTTTTATTTCTGTACTATCCAACTATACATTTTGTTAATATGTTGAGGGACTGACAGTCATACCCATCAAGACAAAAAATAAAGACTTTCAGTCAAACCATATTAACATTAGGTTTTATTTGATATATCAAAAAAAATTATTTTTACACCCCCCCCCCCCCCCACTCCATCCCCACCTCCAGACTAATTCATACCCATCAAGACCAAGAATAAAGACTTTCAGTCAAACGATATTAAAATTAGTTTTTATTTGATACCCATTTCAAAAAAATTATTTTTTACAACCCCCCCCCCCTCCATACACCCCTCCCCTCTCCATCCCCAGACCAAGTCATACCCACCCAGACAAAGAATGAAGACTTTCAGTCAAACCATATTAAAATTAGCTTTTATTTGATACCCATATCGATATTTTGTGTTGATAAAAATATTTTTGACCCCCCAAGACTTAGACCCGCCTATGGGAGAGAGATAGACCTCCAGTTGAATAGATCTTTTGATTAGCTATCGATTGATACCCTATATTAGACATATCTTATTTCATAAGGCAAAAAAACAACATTGAAAATTAATGAATAACAATAAAATTAAAAAACGAAACGCTCGGAAAACGCTTTTTAAAATTAGATTCTTCTATATCATGGTTCAAACGTGATAATGCCGTATAGTTCTTTATCCTTTAAAAAATTGAAATTTTAAAGGGATCTCTTTAAATCCCGTGAAGATCCCGGATAGTTATGATCCCTTTAAAAATTACGACATATGTATGATGAAAAAAAACGTAAAGAATTGTTAAAAAATGGACCTAAATTTATAAATTATTTTTAAAAATACAAAAGAATTATCAAAAATGAGAAGAAAAAAAATTGTGAAAAATATAGTAAGAAAAATAAATTGAGAAAAGATACAAATAAAGTAAAGAAATCGCAAAAAGTTAGAAATAAAATAAGAAGGAATGACAAAAATAAATCAAAAATTTAAGAAAAATTGAAAAATTTTAAAAAATTACGATTTTCCTTTTTTGAATGGGAATTTTCCTTTTTTGATCGACACTTTTCCTTTTCTTTTGGGAATTTTCCTTTTTCGATTGACACTTTTCCTTTTTTGATTGGACCTTTTCCTTTTTTGTTTGACACTTTTCCTTTTTACCTTTTCCTTTTTTGTTTGTCACTTATTCTTTTTTAATCGGACTTTTTCCTATTTTGATTGACACTTTTCCTTTTTTGTTTGGACCTTTTCCTTTTTTGATTAAACCTTTTCCTTTTTTGATTAAACCTTTTCCTTTTTTGATCGGACCTTTTCCTTTTTTGATTGGAACTTTACCTTTTTTGAATGGGAAAGCCTGTATCTAATCTTTATAACTTGAGTGTAGAACCGAAAGTATAACGATTCAGTTCTATCCGGTGTTTAGTTTTTAAATTTTAAATTGGTTTAGTTCCATTACGGTTATTTTTAAACAAATTTATATCGATTAGTTCCGGTTAACAGATCCATATCGGTTCTTTTCCTTTTGTTTAGGTTTTTATAAGTTTTGGATTTTAAAAATAAATTATCGCATATATAGTATTTTGTTGGCACCTAATATTATAATTAAAATATTTAGAAATAAAATAAAAGTTAGTTGAATTTCTTTATTTTATTATAAAACATGCATAAGAAATAGCTAGCTAGTAACATAGTATTATCACATATATAGTAATACTAATTTTTATAAACACATATAATTTCCAAAACTGTTATGAACCCGGTTAAACCTGTTCTAAAGTATTTCTAACGGGATTCGGTTCTTTCTTTTCAAAATTTTCTTATAACTCTTTGATTACGATTCGGGAAATTATTTTTGGTTTATTTCGCAAGTTCGTCACTTTTATAGCTATATTGTCAAAAAAGGTTTATTAAAAACATGCAATGCCAAATAAAGATTTTGAATATTAGTAATCGATAAACTGCAGTTATAAAGAAACTTTTTCTACAGAGTTTAAATTTTTAATTTATATATATATATTCAGCCTTCGATTTTAAAACACAAATGCTACTTTTCGATTTTTTATTCACCTGAATATTTAAATATTAATTTCAATTAATTATTTTCTTCCATTTTGACAGATTTGGATTTCTTTATTGGATTACCCTCAAGAGATATCAATGCTAGAGTGGCTATCTTAAGGAACGAGAGATTTTTGAAAACTTTATCCGGTTTCTTTCAAAAGCTCAAATTCGGATTAATGATATACACTCACCCGATGACCAAAAAGGCTTTGTTAAATCCTGATATGATTGTTAAAGTTAGTTAAAAACTTATACGTGATGTGATAGATAGAAAAAAAGAAAGCACATTTAAGGATGAAAGTGTTTATGAATTATATATTTTAAATTCTAATCAAGATTATAAATAGACAAAGAAAGAAAGAATAGTTTCAAGATATGAATTTATATTTTTTTCCTGTTATAATAATGGTCAAATGAAATTTTTATAAAAATTGAATACACAAATACATTAGCTTAAAAAAATACCAATTAATTCCTTTGAAATTTTAAACTATTTAATCAAAATTATATTTAGACACAAACTATGGCATTAAATAGACCCGAGGTTAGAAATTTGCAATTCCCTTCGGTTATTGGGATAGGTGACGCCAGGAGTTTGGCAAAAGTCTACGGTATTTTGGCTAATCAGGGCAACAATAATCAGCAACTTTTGAGTACATTTTTTTTAAAAAAGAAAAACAATATTATAAAATAATTAAATTTTTAAAATCAAGGGATAATTGTGATTTTTTTAAAAAAGGATAAGATTTTGAAAAATTTATAATTGAAGTTAAATTTTAATAGGTTTCATAAAAAAAATCATATTAAATCGAATTCGATATATTTTTTTGTGAGTATGACCTCACTGAATCCCCCCTCTCCTCCCCATCCATTTATAAAGCCTATACATTCATTTTAATATTTTAGGATATCTAAATTAGTGATTTATTTTTTTATTATAAAGGTTGTCTAATTAATTACTTCTCCGTTTAATGCCGATTTCCAGGTTTACCCAGGTTGGCCAGTTTTTCTTATGTTCTTTTCCATGACGGTCCGGAGAGCATCAATATTTGTAAGATTCATTTTTCTCATATCCTCGGCTATCTCCTATATCCAAGTCATCTTGGGCTTTCCTCTAGGTCTTGATCCTCATTCCATCAAAGTGCATCTATTTTCCCAGTCATCTTTTGTCTTACGTTCCACATGCCCAAACCATCTTAGTCTATTTTTTCGCATTACCACTCCAATAACTTTTATACCAATTCTCACTCGGAATTCTTACCTAGTTTTTCCTCTCTCAGAGATACCCCTCACATCCTTCTAATCATCCTCATCTCTATTCTTTCCAATTTGGCTTCTTGGGCCTTTCATTGCCCATGTTTCGCCGCCATATACTAAACAACTCCTCACACAGCTTACGTAAACTTTCTCTTTAACTTCAGAGCGACTTTTTTATTTGTTAGAATATTTGTCATCTCTCTGAACTTCTTCCATGCTTGTCTGACCCTTGCAACAACAGAATCTATATCACCAAAGAAAGAAAGATTCTAAAATAATAAGACCTTTTCTGAGGTCTACGTTTAGCATATCACCCAAAAAGCAAAACTTTCCACTTTTTTCAGGGTTAATCGATTGCCAATATCTATTCCATTTTCTACGTTATCAGTATTATACCTCTTTTATGTGCATTCTACAGGGTCATTCTTACTAACATGATTTCCTTTTTTTCCCCGCTACATCTTTTATGCACCCATTTCTGGCATCTCGTGCATTAGATTGAATTTCTAGCAACTCCTTTCCCACATACACCACGTTGCCGGATTCCTCAATCTTCAGATTATCCCCACTTATCATCACCTTGGTCTTTACTGAATTCATTTTCAGGCCCTTTGCTTCCATAGCCATCTTCCATCTGCTAATTCTATCCCTCGATTCTTCCTCACTGTTTACCATGCATATAATCACAGGGAAGTCCTTCACGCATTTCTCTAGCATCACATCTATTACTAAGATTAATAATAATGGACTCCGCACGGATCCTAGATGAAGTCCTACATTCACTTCAAAGCTTTCACCATCTCCATCATCCGTCCGTACCGCAGTTTGTGCTCCAACATACGTTGCCTTCACTGCCATAACCAACCACTCACACCTGATTTTTTCAAGGCCCATCTAGTGACCTCATGCGCACCCTGTCAATTGCCTTCTCCAAATCAGTCAAATAAATAACTATTTATAAGAATTTATATAATTAAATAAAGATAAGAGGCTAGTGAATTCTAAAAATTGCTACGATCTTGCTTCGGGCAGCTAAATGATCACTTAGTTTATATAATAGGGTTTTTAATTGTTAAGTATTATTTTTTAAAAATCCAACCGGCTATTTTTTTAAAGTTTATCAACTGAACCAGTGGCATAACTACGAAAGGATGAGCCATGCCCTCTATTTGAACTACTTCTCAATGAGAAATTTTTTTTGAAAAAATCCGTTCAGGAACAAATCGAACCATTATATTGCTAAAAACCGGCATTTTTATCAAACCTAAACCGCTAAAATGCCTCAGAACCGGTTCAAGCAATTTTATGATTATAAAATAATGTGTAAGTTATTACTAGTATATTGCAAAAATTTTAATTATATTCGAATTGCTTTAAAGTTTATTATCAATCACATTTGATTGATAAGTGTCAGTCATAATTTTTATAAACTTTAGTATATTGCCATTTTACAACATTTTTTAAATATTTTAAGCTTATAAATTATAATGTCTAGAGAAAAATTAAATCCTATATATAAATTATTTGCATATAGTATTATAAATGAAACATCAAATCTGATATCATTATAGCAGCCGGCTACCCAAGTTAGCGTGGAAAGATATTTTTCAACAATTAAATTTATATTATCTCCTTATAGATGTAATTTGAGTGAGACGAATTTTGAAAATATATTAATTGTGCGGCTTAATAAAAATATTTTAAGTAAATAAAGTTAAATTGTTCATATTAAAATTATTCATTGATATTTATTTGTTATATTTATTAATTAAATATTATTTTATTATGTGCAATTAATAAAAATGAAGGTATTATATATGTGTTTTTTATTTTAATTATGAAGTTAAAAAAAATATACTTCCCTATACATAATTCGAATGTAGGTTTGAATACAAAAGTGTTTAAACCTGTTTTTAGAGGTTCAAACCGAACCGATATTTTTATTTTTTACGAACCGAATCTGAACCTTAAACCGTTATTTTTATCCTAACCTAAACCTGAACCGAACCCGTATTCGTTTCGGTTTGGATCCCTTTTTCCTTTGAAAATCTTTTTATACATTATATTTTTACGTTGTGCCGTATTACACAGAAATTATATATAACTCTACAAGAAATATATATAACTCTACACAGAAATAATATATAACTCTGAACTTTATTATTAAAATAATATCAATGAAAAATTACAACGCAATATCAAATTTAAAATTTACAATTTTATAAAACCAAAAAAAATATGAATTAATTAAATTACAATTTCGCTTCCTTTTATAGGGAAGCGATTAATAATTAAAAAAAATAATTAAAAATTAACTAACAAAAAATATCTTCTTTTGAAATTATAAACCCCCTACTCATGCTCAAATTTAAATTATAAGTTAAAAATACCTTTTTATAATTGATAAATTTTAGTATCATAATTATAATTAATATAAATTTCACTAAAAATAACTTAAAAATTGTAAAATATAATGACTTAACTAAAAATCATTTACAAAATCTAAAAATATATCATTAACGCGATTAAAATAAAATTAGATAAAAATCCTCAGACTTAACTAAAAACAAACTTTTACAAATCTAAAAATATAATTCAAAATTTTTATTCAATTACGACAATATTTATAACATATTTAAATTTTATCGATACTTTTATAAAGTTTTTTTTTCTAAAATTTTGTTTTATACATCATTGTATAGGATTTGATAAATAATTCTTGAATAAATAATGCTATTCTGTATTGTATTATTTCAACTTGCTAAAAATTTATAATAAGCAAATGGAATTCGAAATATTTTATATTTTTTTCTCGAGTTGGTTTATTCTGCTAAGTGAACTCTCCTTTAATGAATCGTCATACAGGGCTTAGATCAATATAACCTGTCAGCTATTCTATTATATTAATTATTAGAATTAGCTATTTTTGGGTTGTTTTTGGATTAAGGTTTTATCATTCACAAAGATCTTATCAAGGAAAAAAAGGTGTCGAATGATGGAATCAAAATTGATTTGATAATGATTGATATTTTAGTATTTATAATCCCATTTCCACATTCAAAGTGTAAACGCCATGAAAATTTTCCACTTATTTTATTGTTTTGAAGAAAATCAATATGGAAAGCTTTTTATTGGTTTCGAATGACATTCACAACACTTCCTAAATTAACGTGAGTCATCGCTAAATATTCTATTGTATCAATGGTCTCTATCAAATTAATGTGATTATTTACCCAGCTCAATCCTTTCCCCTTTTCAAGTAAAAATATCGAAAATGTTATTATACGAATACAATTCTTGAGATTCTGTCATCGTTCTATGATGCATCTCACAGTTATACAGCCGATATTTGAATACTTAAAATTAATTCCTTACATTCTCTTCGCCTGATGCTAGAGAATAAAATATCGAAACTCCTCAAATGTTTCTCTCTCAGGGACCTTTAGAACGATAACATTTATTAAAATTAGTTTTAAAAAAAATGGTTAAATTTTAAAAATAGACTTAAGTGAAATAGCAGACGATTATATAATTTTAAAAAATTGAAGGTGGCCGATGATCTTTGATGCAAGCAGCACTATTTTTTTTTTATTACTCTCAATAATACAATATATTAGGTTGTCAAAATATTTCCTAAAATTTTGTATAAATATCTTTTTTTGTAGTTTTATAATTAATGTACCAAGCATAAATGATATTGGGGAATATTTTAATTTTTATTAATATTTTAGCACGAATTTTTATAATCAAATTAAAAACATGGTGCGGTTAAAGAATCTTATTAAATTTTTTTAGAACCCGAAACATTGCAAAGAATGATCAAGCAAACGTCGTCTTCTTACGATAAAGATGTCATATTTGGTGATATGTATAAATTCGCTATGTCTACCGGATTCATACTTATGCCCAACCCTAATGTAAAAAGTTTTTTTAAAAAATTGTTAATTAAGAAAATTTTTTTTTTAGAATTAAAATGTATAAATCGAATAATAAGTATTCTGATATTATATTTTAGTACCTTTGATTTTCGAATTACTGTAATATACTACCAAACTTCGGGGTTGTTAAAATGACAGATTCAGGTCGATTTATAAAAACGATCCAAATAATATTTTGGCTAAAATGATTTAATGTTCTCATGGATGGTAGAAAGGTTTGGACCTCTATTTGCCAAATCTCTAGGCTTACATAATATTATTTTGACTAAAATCTTTCAGATCGTTTTTAAAGATAGATCCTAATCGGACTTTTTAACAACCCTTTTTCGTATATTATATTCGTTCAATCATTTTTTTTATTTTGTGTATTTTAAAATTTCGATAAAAAGATTATAATACACAATTAAAACGAAATATGTTTATTTTTTTAAAATAATAATATATAGTATATATCAGAGACCTGCTGGCCGGGCCCTAAGCCATTTTAATTTTTTTAAATACACCCGATCGGGGCGTGCAAATGGTACATCTGCAGTTCTAATATATATATATTAAAGAATATAAAAATATAATTTATATAATTATGCTAAAAATACATCCAAAGATAAAATACAAAAGCCCCTCAAAAATAAGGTAAAATATATATATCTTATCTTAAAAAATTAAAAAAAAATTCTTCAAATTATCTTATGTAATATTTTTACATGACGCGTGCAAAATCTTTATATAAAAAAGATATATATTTGATTGAATCTTAAAAGCAGGCCTTTAGCCAGAAAAACTTCAAATGGAGGGGGGGGGGCAAAAGCTTATTTGGTGCCAATATATTTTAATTTTTTTACAAACCGTTAGAAACAAATTTAGAGACTAGTTTAGTGGTCGAAAATTCTTCCCCATTGTTACGGGGGGGGGGGGGTGTATGTAGTGTTTATGAGCAAAGGAATTCACAATAAAATTTTTCCCTTGAGCTTAAATTTAGTCGTATTCAGGAAATAATTGATGGATCTTCTAGATAGCATTCTTGTTAACGAACAACTCTAAAGGAATGCCTTAAGAGATATATTTCTTTAGAAGATCATATATTAAAAAAAATCTTTTGAAAATCGTCATTCAAAAACAGAGGACAAGATTTATGAGGTAAAATCTATTACAGGAGATTTTCCATTATTGACCTAACTTATTCTTTAATCAAGGTTATATAAAAACACTATAACGATGATTCAAAAAAAGGAAGATTAGAAAGAATGGGTCGTGGAACACCATTCTTCAAATGAATCCCGTTTTTAAAATGAACTGTAGTAATGTTAGGGATCATGTAATCAGAGATAAGAAGCCTTTCATACTGATTAATTAAAACTAGCTGTTTTCCAGAGAAGACAATGATATGGGAATTTGTAAAAATATGTTGGAAGTCATGTCTTTGTAAATGGCATAAAAACGCTTTAAAAATTGAGAGATACTTATTTCCTGATGGCGCAAGTGTATTTCAGCAAGATAGGACACCATGCCATGCTGAGAAATTGACTAAAGAATAGTTACCTGACAGAAATATTTAATTTAAATCCTGAAAATTTATGGGATATTATTTTTAAAAAACAATTTAAAATGCCATACTACTGGAAATGAATTTAAAGAAAACAGTAGAAGATATGGAATTTAATTACATAAGAATGATGAGGGGATCTCATAAATTTAATACCTGATAAAATGGGACCGTTATATTTTTTTAAATGTATTTTTAATTTCAAATGAGCTATTTAATATACTAACTAGCTCTTTAACTTTATGATTTTAATTTTTTTTAAAAAAATTTTAACCTTGGGTTGTCCAGTGTTAAAAGCTACTTTTAAAAGTAGCCCACTACTAACTACTTTTTGCGTTACTTTAGAATTTTTAAAATATTTTTTATGAATCTCATTTTCAAAAATTAATATGTCTAAAATTTCAAATATATATATATATAATTTATTTATTTATTAAATGTCATTTCAATAATAACATTTCCATACTGTCATCTCCAAGTCTAGAACGAGATCAGAAAATATAAACTATGACTAAATAATTGTGTAACACTAGCACACAATGTAGTATTAAATTTAATATGCATATTTTTTATATAAAGAAGAATAATCAAAAATATTAATTTGAGTTTTTTAATTTAAAAAAGATGCATCCAAAGGATTTCTATTAGTATTATTATTTATTTTAAAAAAATCAAGTCGTAAATTATAATAGTAATAGTTAGAACAAAAATTATGTAGAGGATAAGTGAATGGTCAGGCCACCACCCTTTAACTTTATCTATTGAACCAATTTCTCTCAAAATTGGTTAAAATGTTAAAGGATAATAAATTTTGATAAAATTTTAAATATATAAATATATTAGTATTTAATTTCAAGCATGTTTTACATCCAGTTAATAATTTATAAAATATAATCATTAGATGAGTCTGATGATTAAATGAAATGTTAATATTAATTATTTTAGAAAATTTCAATTCATAATATAATTCTTGAATAATATCTTATCAAATTGAAACATACCAGGTTTGGACTGGGCCAGAAGATCAACTTTCACATATACTCATTTAGCTCAAAAACTATTATGGGATACAGCTTTGATTCAAATTTTATTTTAAAGATTAAGAAATGGGCTACACATTGATATTAAATTTGTTGGATATATTACTTATAAAAGCGTCTTCGTTAAATTTACTAGTCTTGTTTGATGATAGACCTTCCAGCACACATCTTACAGTAAAATTTATACCTTAAGTTAATTTTTTTATTGAGATTAAAATATTCAATGAATTCAGGAAAACGAAATTCCATATTATTATCATTTTCCAGGAAAATTTTGTCGATACCAAAATTATCTTCAATATAATCTTTATCTTCGACATTTTAAATTATTTTGAAAATTAGATTTATAATGCAGATTTTAAAATATAAATTTCAAAATTAAATTAAATAAAAGGATTATGATTTTAGAATTAATTATAATTATACATATATTTTAACAATTTTTATGTGTATGTATTTATTATATAAAATTGAAAGTAGCGAAATAGCGCGCTGCTTCGCTGTTAGTAGCGAGCTATCTCTATTTTTTTTAAAGTAGGTCGCTAAAGCTATCGCTACTAGAAAAAGTTGCACGCTATAGTAGCGTGCTACTTTAACAACACTGGGGTTTTCCCCATTTTTTATAACTTTATTTTTCTCATTTATTTTTAATTTTGTATTTTTTCTCCTTTAGATTATTTTATTCTAATTTTAATCTTTTTTTCCGTTTTTTGTTACCTTTATATTTATTTTAGTTTTTTAAATAAAAAACTTAATTTTCTCATTGTGCATTTTCCTACGCATTTTTGAGCATTTAATGATTTTTTAGTTTGATAACTCTTAATTTTAACATGATTTTATATTTCAAAATTTTTGAATTTTATTATGATTTAACTTATTAATTTTCCTTTTTGGTGTACTTCTAGCTCATTCTCTTTTCATTTATTTCCCTTGATTTATTATTTTTTTTCAAAATTTTACTTAACGTATAATTTGAATATTTTTTTATACGTTATCTATAATGCATCGGGCAAAAAAAGGATAAAAAAAAATAAATAAAATCTTAAAATATATACTCCAATCTATAAAAAAATTCACAAAATAATAGTTACTTTACTAGATATTAGCAAGCTAGCTAATTTGTAAAATATTTAAGTCACTATTATACTAGCTAACTACTGGCTAGTTTGTAAACTAGCTAAATTTATATAATAGCTGTAATATGTATACCAACTTTATGTTACAAAGTGAAAATATTTGGTTTAAATTGAGTAATATTTTTTATCGAAATTTTAAATGCATAAAATGAAAATTGCCAATGGACCAAAATATATGAAGTTAGGTAATATACATTCTTTTCTTTATAAATTTTCGCCATCCAATTTCCAAAACGACGATGTTGATATTAGTGATCTGCATCGGGCCTAATTTTTCAAGCCCGGCCCGGCCCGAATTTATTTAAATATAAAAATTAATTCTTATAATTACTCAAAATAAACGATATATGTTATATGGCGTCTACTTTCTATAAATAAAATCACATATTTTTATTATACATAAAAAATTCAACATAAAATTGATAAATTTAAGATATATTTTAAAAATATTTTAGGCCCAACCCGACTCGGCCCGAATTTTCTTAAAAAATATTAAGCCCGGCTCGAAGCCCGTCAGAGCCGGAGATCTCTAGTGACATTATGACACCTTGAACACATAAAAAATTATTTAAAAATGATCATTTTAATGCTTTCTAACTTTTTAAAAATTATAAAGAAAATTGTTGTTTTTGTGACCCCCAATAAAAGAATAAGTTTTTAAAAATTTATTATTACCTTATTATAAGAAACTAGAACACGTATATAGTATGTAATATTATGTTTGATTTAGTAAGATTTGAATTTTATTATAATATATACAATAAAATCAAAATATTATAAAATTTTCCTTATTTTGCTCATAAACATATAACTGGAAGGACTGTCCAAAAACTATAAGATATTCATTTAAGCTGTATATCGCTACATCTTGTCATTTAGTTGTTATAAAAAAAAGTCAATTAATTTGATTTACATATGTGCTCAAGTATAAAATATTTTAGGCAAGCTGATCCACACCTCAGCGAGAAAATTTTGAAAATTCAAATTTTAAAGCCTTTGTATAAATATAAAATTTTAGGGTCACATAAAATTTAGATAACCCCCCCAACAAGTAAATTCAACATAATAGTCATCAATGTTTTGGTGCTAACCATAAAATTAATTTTTCTACTATTATCCAATCTATACTTCTATTGATCTTGGTTTGAGAATGAATGTTCGATTGTGATTATGTAAAAATATTTATTTCAATTAAAAATATAACTTTAAGGGCCAAACCAATTTTGGTTTCCCAGGTCACGGGTTGCAATTGGCCTTTGGCGATCCTAATCAAAGAATAGGTTACGCTTACCTAACTAACACGGTTGCGAACGACCAACTCAACGATAGGAGAGGTCGTTATTGCGTTGACGCGCTTTACAAGGCTCTTAATGCTTCTCGCAGAGGATTGGAAGGGTAGTTAATAAATGATTAGATTGTTCTTTATGGGTTGAAAGGGAATAAATGATTTTATTTAAAGTTAGCCAAATGAGGGACTAGAGGGACTCACTTAAAAATTTTGGAAACTAAAAGTTTTGGAAACTAGTAGGGTTGGCAAATAAAAATCAATTTGATGATTTAAATTACCTCGATTTTTTAAAAAAACCTGTGATTTAAATTTAATCATTATTTTTAATAAATTTTATTTACTAAATTTGATCAAAATTCTTAATATAAGGAAAGATGAAGACTTAAAATAATTTAATTAAATAATTTATAAATGAGAAATACTAAATTGTACTAATAATCATTACTTGTTAGATTAAAAAGAGTTGATTTATTTTGTATTCATTTGTTTCAATTATTGACATGTATAATTCTAATCTCAATGTAGTGATAAATTAGTTAATATTCTAAGGGGTGTGAACCCTCCTTCTAAAAAAAGAGTTCTGGTTTAGTGAAATATTGCGAACTCGGCTCAGTTTCAGGGTCAGTCCAGAAAAATAGATACTTTAAATTTTAGTAAAAATAACAATAATATCAGTTTTTTTTATTGAATTTACCATAAAAATAGTTTTATCATTATAATTAGAATATTGCAATTACAATTTAAAAAATAATAATCTATTAATTTTATAAGAGAATTATCTGATATCCTCCAAAATTTAGATTGTTTAAAATTAAAAGATCGATTTTTTATTACTAACTTTGACATACATTGCAACTTTTAATGTACTCGACATATTTGAATTTAATTGTTTAAAAGAAAACTAGTTTTTCTAAACTATTCAGTTTTGAATACACTCCATATGATGAAAATACTCTATTGAATCTGTTGATTGTTTTATGAATTAAATGGTCCTGCTAACTAAAGGTCTGCAAAGTGATTTTTTTGCGGCCCGAGCTAGACAAAAAATTTTGTCCGAACCCGAATTCAAAATCTTTTTAACCCGACCCGATGTGAACCCTACAATTTTTTTGAATTTGAGTGTAAATATTATAAAATCCAAAAAACATATAAAAATTATGTGTTTTAACACAAAAGTTTATTTGACTTCTATAATATAATCAGTATTTAATTTATATTAAGTTGCATTTTATTAAATTGGAAACTTATGCATTTTATTCAGTTTAAATATAGTTGAAATACAATCGAATTAAAAATTATTGCTATTATATAAAAATAATGTGCAAACAAAATTTTATTAAACTGGTTAAATTTAGCTTAGAATTTTACCATGATTGATAGATAAGAGAGTTGAAAATATAAAATTAGCCACCTTCCACTGCCACTTCGGTTTCATTGTTGGTTAAATTTGAAGCATATTTGTGGTTTAGAAGATATGATTAGATGTGTCGGTGGAAGTATTATAATAATGCTGATTTTCAGGATGGTGGGTTATAAAAATAACCATATATAAACAAATCTAATTTAAATATAATTAATCTTTTATTAAATTTTGTCAAATAACCAACCATTTTAAAAATAATTAGATTATTTGATTTGTATAATGTTATTGAAGAAGTTGTAGGGAGTTAAATAAAAATAGGAAAGCAAAATGATATTTATTTTGATTTTATTGATTTAAAAATATACCTAACTAAATCTAATAAATTTTACATCTATTATATATATACTTTACAAAATTTTTACTTAATCGGTTAATATAAAACAACAATCATTTAAACGACCAAGGTATTAAGAAATATTAAGTTAACATAATGTAAAATAAAAGAAATAATAAAATCAGTCCGTTAGGTAAATATTAAATTAATAGTGTAAAATAAAAGAAATAATAAAATTAGGCCTTAAGGTAAATATTAAGTTAATAGACAGTAAAAAATAAATAAAAAATTAATTCGAATATCTTAATAGTTATAAACACTTGATTTATCATCAGAAAAAGGTTAATTAAACTATATTTATCATAATATAATATAAGAACTAGCCTCTATCAGAAAAAGAAAGGAGAAGGAGATTTTAAAAATTTTTGGGGCATAAATAATCAAGATTATTTTAAATTAAGGGTATTAACGAATATTTTACATTTTACTAATGCGTAAGGATATCGGAAATAACATAAGCTAAAATTAAAAATAATAAAAAGTCAAAAAAATTAAATTTCAAATTTGGCTTATATTCATAATAGTATCATTTTCAATGACATATAATAATACCTAGACTGACGATTCATTCATTAAAATGCATTTTTAACCGTCGTTAAAAGCAAATCAGCTGGACCCGCCATTTTGGTAACCTTTATAATAATTATTTTCATGTTAAAAACTAATATTAAATTGATAACTTACTTTCTTATTATCTCGATGATCAGGCAATTCTTTAATAAAGTTTGCATCAGATATAATATAAAATTAGGCTCTCGTTTAAAATTTTAATATTTATTACAGTAACCAAGATGGCGTCTCTAGCTGATTTGTATTGATGTACACTTTTAATGAATGAATCGTCAGTCTAGGTATTATTATATGTCATTGATCATTTTAGAGAATGAATGATTTTCTTTCCGACTCACCGATATCGACTTGTTAAATATTTTTAAAACAGTGTTCGCATATGGAATTTTTGATTGAAAGTCTTGATAAAATATCAAATTAGCTCATGAATTATCAATATATATTTTTTCAATAATTTCCTGACCGGATCTCCTGATGCAATAACTTTTTAGCTATAAAGAAATATTACACTAAGGAAAAAAGATTATGCTTTATGATATTTTTTAATCTAAATCTGTAACTTCCTTAATTAAAATATTAGTATTTTTGTTTGGTTTAAATCGCTATTTAAATATTAAAACGATTTTTTCAGATAAATCACAAATTTTGCCAACCCTAGAAACTAATGGTGAACATTATATATAAATAGAAAGAAATTGATTTTTAAAAAGGGATAGAAATGAACAAAAAAAATTAATTAAATGTGTCCTATTTATAGCATGTTTTTACCCTTTATTTTATTCCTAGTGAAAAAAATTATTTAAAATTTTATTTCTATCTTGAAAAAATAACAAAGATCTGTATCCCTCGAAGACAAAGCTAGATCTGATATCATACCTGATAAATCTACTTTGGAGCATCTCACCAAAAGTAAACCACCACATCTCGAGAAGACCGGTATATTGAGTTCTCTTTGGGGATTTGTGTTTCATACTAAAGGAAATGAAGAAAAACAGCACAGCAAAACGGATGCTCATCTCCACAGGAAGGGTTACTTCGATATGATTCGCCATGTTATAAGTGATTCGGCTCACAAGCTTAAAGGAGCTAAATCGCCCAAAGATTTAAAAACTATACTGGATAATGCCCGGAAATCGGTAAATTCTGTGAGGAGTGATCCCATTTCTGCGCACAAAATATCCGACAAATATTTTGAGAGCAAGGACTATCTGGAAGGAACATCTTCTATGATACTAGATGCTGCCAAATGGCTTTCTAATGCCGGAAATCAAGATTCTAAAGCTATATTAGATCTGGCCGGCTTATACATATCTGGGATCAAAGATTTTGTGCCAGGAATGAATTACAAGGATTACTTTGGTTTAGCGATGTCGAACTTGAAAGATGCAGTTTCAGATGTTACAGAGCATCACGAGAAAGGACCCTTAGAATATTTAGAAGACACAATGGAGTCTTTAACACGCACTAAAGATGATGTTATGAGTTATCCCCATAAAAAAGGTTACTTCGAAAAAGCTAAAAATATCATAATAGAATCAGCTTATAAATTACAAACCGCAAATTCAGCTAAAGATATAAAAATAATATTAGATAATGTTAGAAAATCGATAGGTTCGATGAGTGACAAATTTTCAAAGCATAAAATCTCGGACAAATATTACGATAGCAAAGATTATATAGAAGGGACATCTTCAATGATTTTGGATGCTGCAAGAAGACTTTCTTCAACTGGAAATGAAGATGCTCAAGCTCTATTAGACCAGGCAGGACACTATATATCTGGAATAAAGGAATACGTTCCAGGGATACATCAAAAGGGATATTTTGAACTGGCAGGAGATAAATTATCTAATATAAAAGAGAGTGTTACAGAAGCTCTACTTCCTCACGAGAAAGAATATTTAGAAAGTGCATCGGATTCTTTAACTGGTGCTAAGAATAATATCATTGAAACATTTTATCCCCATAAAAAAGGTTACTTCGAAAAAGCTAAAAATATCATAATCGAATCAGCTCATAAATTACAAACCGCAAATTCAGCTAAAGATATAAAAATAATATTAGATAATGCTAGAAAATCTATAAGTTCGATGAGTGACAAATTTTCAAAGCATAAAATCTCGGACAAATATTACGATAGCAAAGATTATATAGAAGGGACATCTTCAATGATTTTGGATGCTGCAAGAAGACTTTCTTCCGCTGGAAATAAGGATGCTCAAGATCTATTAGACCAGGCAGGACACTATATATCTGGAATAAAGGAATACGTTCCAGGGATGCATCAAAAAGGATATTTTGAATTAGCGGGAGATAAATTATCTAGTATAAAAGATAGTGTTACAGAAGCTCTACTTCCTCACGAGAAAGGATACTTAGAAAGTGCAGTGGATTCTTTAACTGGTGCTAAGGATAATATCATTGAAACATTTTATCCCCATAAAAGAGGGTATTTCGAAAAAACTAGAGATACCATAATAGAATCTGCTCATAAATTAAAAAGTGCAGATTCACCTAAAAATATAAAAATAATATTAGATGAGGCTAGAAAATCGATAAATTCTATGAGTGACAAGTTTTCAAAGCATAAAATCTCGGACAAATATTACGATAGCAAGGATTATATAGAAGGGACAACTTCAATGATTTTAGATGCTGCAAGAAGACTTTCTTCCGCTGGAAATGAGGATGCTCAAGCTCTATTAGACCAGGCAGGACACTATATATCTGGAATAAAAGAATACGTTCCAGGGATGCATCAAAAGGGATATTTTGAATTAGCGGGAGATAAATTATCTAGTATAAAAGATAGTGTTACAGAAGCTCTACTTCCTCACGAGAAAGGATACTTAGAAAGTGCATTGGATTCTTTAACTGGTGCTAAGAATAATATCATTGAAACATTTTATCCCCATAAAAAAGGTTACTTCGAAATAGCTAAAAATATCATAATAGAATCAGCTTATAAATTACAAACCGCAAATTCAGCTAAAGATATAAAAATAATATTAGATAATGTTAGAAAATCGATAGGTTCGATGAGTGACAAATTTTCAAAGCATAAAATCTCGGACAAATATTACGATAGCAAAGATTATATAGAAGGGACATCTTCAATGATTTTGGATGCTGCAAGAAGACTTTCTTCAACTGGAAATGAAGATGCTCAAGCTCTATTAGACCAGGCAGGACACTATATATCTGGAATAAAGGAATACGTTCCAGGGATGCATCAAAAGGGATATTTTGAACTGGCAGGAGATAAATTATCTAGTATAAAAGAGAGTGTTACAGAAGCTCTACTTCCTCACGAGAAAGGATATTTAGAAAGTGCATCGGATTCTTTAACTGGTGCTAAGAATAATATCATTGAAACATTTTATCCCCATAAAAAAGGTTACTTCGAAAAAACTAAAAATATCATAATCGAATCAGCTCATAAATTACAAACCGCAAATTCAGCTAAAGATATAAAAATAATATTAGATAATGCTAGAAAATCTATAAGTTCGATGAGTGACAAATTTTCAAAGCATAAAATCTCGGACAAATATTACGATAGCAAAGATTATATAAAAGGGACATCTTCAATGATTTTGGATGCTGCAAGAAGACTTTCTTCCGCTGGAAATAAGGATGCTCAAGATCTATTAGACCAGGCAGGACACTATATATCTGGAATAAAGGAATACGTTCCAGGGATGCATCAAAAAGGATATTTTGAATTAGCGGGAGATAAATTATCTAGTATAAAAGATAGTGTTACAGAAGCTCTACTTCCTCACGAGAAAGGATACTTAGAAAGTGCAGTGGATTCTATAACTGGTGCTAAGGATAATATCATTGAAACATTTTATCCCCATAAAAGAGGGTATTTCGAAAAAACTAGAGATACCATAATAGAATCTGCTCATAAATTAAAAAATGCAGATTCGCCTAAAGATATAAAAATAATATTAGAGGAGGCTAGAAAATCGATAAATTCTATGAGTGACAAGTTTTCAAAGCATAAAATCTCGGACAAATATTACGATAGCAAGGATTATATAGAAGGGACAACTTCAATGATTTTAGATGCTGCAAGAAGACTTTCATCTGCTGGAAATGAGGATGCTCAAGCTCTTTTAGACCAAGCAGGGCACTATATATCTGGAATAAAGGATTACGTTCCAGGTATGCATAAAAAGGGTTATTTCGAATTGGCCGGAGATAAATTATCTAGTATAAAAGATAGTGTTACAGAAGCTCTACTTCCTCACGAGAAAGGATACTTAGAAAGTGCAGTGGATTCTTTAACTGGTGCTAAGGATAATATCATTGAAACATTTTATCCCCATAAAAGAGGGTATTTCGAAAAAACTAGAGATACCATAATAGAATCTGCTCATAAATTGAAAAATGCAGATTCGCCTAAAGATATAAAAATAATATTAGATGAGGCTAGAAAATCGATAAATTCTATGAGTGACAAGTTTTCAAAGCATAAAATCTCGGACAAATATTACGATAGCAAGGATTATATAGAAAAGACAACTTCAATGATTTCAGATGCTGCAAGAAGACTTTCATCTGCTGGAAATGAGGATGCTCAAGCTCTATTAGACCAAGCAGGGCACTATATATCTGGAATAAAGGAATACGTTCCAGGTATGCATAAAAAGGGTTATTTCGAATTGGCTGTAGATAGGTTATCTGGCCCCAAGGACAAGGTAGACTCTTTATATCATCAATCAAAGGGATCCCTCGAAAGTGATAAATATTCTATACTTCACCATCACACAAAGAGTTTTTTGAAAAGTGTGCTAGATGCACTGTCCAATATCAAGGAAGGCATTATTGATAGCTTATATCCACGACACGAAAGTACCTATTTGGAAAAAACGGGGGCTGCTATTTTACAAGCAGCACATAGACTTGAGAATACTAATTCTCCGGACCTGATAAAAACAACTGTAGACACAGTACGCTCTATTGTTCATGACTTGGGCCATCACTTTACCGATGATCCTAATTTACTAAAAAGAAAACTTTCGGACACCTACTACGATACTAAGACTGGGCTCGATGCCACTCAAGCGGTGCTAATCGAAGCTGCTAAACGATTGCCACGAGCAGGAGCACAAGATGCTAAAGCTCTGATTCATTTAGTGGCTCTATATTTGTTGGGTGACTACAATAGCGAGATATTCTCAGCTAATATTTTTCATCGTCATCCTGAGTCTTATTTTCATAAAGCGAGAGATATGATCATGCATGCGGCCCAACAATTGAATGGAGTTAAATCATCGGAGGATATCAAATCAATCCTGGATAAGACTCGTATGTCATTTACGGATGCTAGTGACCATTTTTTAGATATTGTTAAGGAAAAAAGGCATAAATATAAAATGGGGGAAGCTATAACCGATGCCTATTACAATAGCAAATCTTATTTAGATTCCTCTGCTGCAATGATAATAGAAGCCGCTAAACAACTAAGCCTCTCAGGTACGAAAGACGCCGATTCGATAATGGACCAAACTGGGAAGTACCTGATCGGTATTAAAGAATACATTATAAATAATAATCCATCCAAAAGCTATTTTGACACATCGAAAGACAAACTATCCAACTTGATGGATAGCGTTTCAGAAACCTTCTATCCGCATAAAAGAGGGTATCTTGAATCGTCTATCAATAAAATTTTTGATATAAAAAATGGAATTATCGAAACAATCTATCCCCACCAAAAGAACTATTATGATAGAACAAAAGACATTATTATGCTCACGGCACATGAGTTAAGTAGAGCCAAATCTACTAATATTAAATCCATCCTTGATAAAGCTCGAAAGTCTATAACAGATGCTAGTGATCATTTCACCGATTTGGTTAAAAGTAAAAAACATAAAAATAGTATGGGCGAATCGATATCAGACGCATATTACAATAGCAAAGATTACTTGGATCATAGCGCAAATATGATAATTGACGCGTCTAAGCGATTAAGCCATGCTAGTTCTGACGAAGCCAATGAAATCTTAGATCAAGCCGGTAAATATATGATAGGCATGAAAGATTATATAATAGGAAACCATCCAAAAGGATATTTTGATACTACGCTTGATAAACTCACTGGAATGAAAAACAAAGTGGTTGAATCTGTTCATCCGCACAAACCTGGTTATTTGGAAAACGTGATGCATTATTTGGACGATATGAAAGTAGGAATTATAGACTCATTATATCCTCACCAAGATAGTTACTATGAAAAAGCTAGAAATACTGTATTTCGCACTGCGAATCAGCTAAGTGAAGCCAAATCCAGCGATATTAAATCCATCCTTGATAAAGCCCGCGAGTCAATAACAGACGCAAGTGATCATTTCACTGATTTAGTTAGAGGCAAAAAGCATAAAAATAGTATGGGCGAATCGATATCAGACGCATATTACAATAGCAAAGATTACTTGGATCATAGCGCAAATATGATAATCGACGCGTCTAAGCGATTAAGCCATGCTAGTTCTGACGAAGCCAATGAAATCTTAGATCAAGCCGGTAAATATATGATAGGCATGAAAGATTATATAACAGGAAACCATCCAAAAGGATATTTTGATACTACGCTTGATAAACTCACTGGAATAAAAAACAAAGTGGTTGAATCTGTTCATCCGCACAAACCTGGTTATTTGGAAAACGTGATGCATTATTTGGACGATATGAAAGTAGGAATTATAGACTCATTATATCCTCACCAAGATAGTTACTATGAAAAAGCTAGAAATACTGTATTTCGCACTGCGAATCAGCTAAGTGGAGCCAAATCCAGCGATATTAAATCCATCCTTGATAAAGCCCGCGAGTCAATAACAGACGCAAGTGATCATTTCACTGATTTAGTAAGAGGCAAAAAGCATAAAAATAGTATGGGCGAATCGATATCAGACGCATATTACAATAGCAAAGATTACTTGGATCATAGCGCAAATATGATAATCGACGCGTCTAAGCGATTAAGCCATGCTAGTTCTGACGAAGCCAATGAAATCTTAGATCAAGCCGGTAAATATATGATAGGCATGAAAGATTATATAACAGGAAACCATCCAAAAGGATATTTTGATACTACGCTTGATAAACTCACTGGAATAAAAAACAAAGTGGTTGAATCTGTTCATCCGCACAAACCTGGTTATTTGGAAAACGTGATGCATTATTTGGACGATATGAAAGTAGGAATTATAGACTCATTATATCCTCACCAAGATAGCTACTATGAAAAAGCTAGAAATACTGTATTTCGCACTGCGAATCAGCTAAGTGGAGCCAAATCCAGCGATATTAAATCCATCCTTGATAAAGCCCGCGAGTCAATAACAGACGCAAGTGATCATTTCACTGATTTAGTTAGAGGCAAAAAGCATAAAAATAGTATGGGCGAATCGATATCAGACGCATATTACAATAGCAAAGATTACTTGGATCATAGCGCAAATATGATAATCGACGCTTCAAAGCGATTAAGCCATGCTACCTCTGATGAAGCCAATGAAATCTTAGATCAAACCGGTAGATATATGATAGGCATGAAAGATTATATAACAGGAAACCATCCAAAAGGATATTTTGATACTACGCTTGATAAACTCACTGGAATGAAAAACAAAGTGGTTGAATCTGTTCATCCGCACAAACCTGGTTATTTGGAAAACGTGATGCATTATTTGGACGATATGAAAGTAGGAATTATAGACTCATTATATCCTCACCAAGATAGCTACTATGAAAAAGCTAGAAATACTGTATTTCGCACTGCGAATCAGCTAAGTGGAGCCAAATCCAGCGATATTAAATCCATCCTTGATAAAGCTCGGGAGTCAATAACAGACGCAAGTGATCATTTCACTGATTTAGTAAGAGGCAAAAAGCATAAAAATAGTATGGGCGAATCGATATCAGACGCATATTACGATAGCAAAGATTACTTGGATCATAGCGCAAATATGATAATCGACGCGTCTAAGCGATTAAGCCATGCTAGTTCTGACGAAGCCAATGAAATCTTAGATCAAGCCGGTAAATATATGATAGGCATGAAAGATTATATAACAGGAAACCATCCAAAAGGATATTTTGATACTACGCTTGATAAACTCACTGGAATGAAAAACAAAGTGGTTGAATCTGTTCATCCGCACAAACCTGGTTATTTGGAAAACGTGATGCATTATTTGGACGATATGAAAGTAGGAATTATAGACTCATTATATCCTCACCAAGATAGCTACTATGAAAAAGCTAGAAATACTGTATTTCGCACTGCGAATCAGCTAAGTGGAGCCAAATCCAGCGATATTAAATCCATCCTTGATAAAGCCCGGGAGTCAATAACAGACGCAAGTGATCATTTCACTGATTTAGTAAGAGGCAAAAAGCATAAAAATAGTATGGGCGAATCGATATCAGACGCATATTACAATAGCAAAGATTACTTGGATCATAGCGCAAATATGATAATCGACGCTTCAAAGCGATTAAGCCATGCTACCTCTGATGAAGCCAATGAAATCTTAGACCAAACCGGTAGATATATGATAGGCATGAAAGATTATATAACAGGAAACCATCCAAAAGGATATTTTGATACTACGCTTGATAAACTCACTGGAATGAAAAACAAAGTGGTTGAATCTGTTCATCCGCACAAACCTGGTTATTTGGAAAACGTGATGCATTATTTGGACGATATGAAAGTAGGAATTATAGACTCATTATATCCTCACCAAGATAGCTACTATGAAAAAGCTAGAAATACTGTATTTCGCACTGCGAATCAGCTAAGTGGAGCCAAATCCAGCGATATTAAATCCATCCTTGATAAAGCCCGGGAGTCAATAACAGACGCAAGTGATCATTTCACTGATTTAGTTAGAGGCAAAAAACATAAAAATAGTATGGGCGAATCGATATCAGACGCATATTACAATAGCAAAGAATACCTGGATCATAGCGCAAATATGATAATAGATGCGTCTAAGCGATTAAGCCTTGCCAGTTCTGACGAAACCAATGCAATCTTAGATCAAACCGGTAAATATATGATAGGCATAAAAGATTATATAACAGGAAACTACCCAAAAGGATATTTTGATGCAACTTTGAATAAGCTATCAGGAATGAAAAACAAAGTTGTTGAATCTGTTCATCCGCACAAACCTAGTTATTTAGAAAACGTGATGCATTATTTGGACGATATCAAAGTAGGAATTATTGACTTAATATATCCTCACCAAGAGAGTTACTATGAGAAAGCTAGAGACACTATAATTCACACAGCACATCAGTTAAGTGGATCCAAATCTGGCGATATTAAATCAATACTCGATAAAGCTCGGGAATCAATAACAGATTCTAGTGATCATTTTACTAACTTGGTTAAGGGCAAGAAGCATAAAAATAGTTTAGGAGAATCAATTTCAGATTCTTATTATAGTAGTAAAGCATATTTGGATTCCACTGCCGCAATTATAATAGATGCAGCTAAACATTTAAGTAACGCAGGATCTAAAGATGCCCAGGCAATTTTAGATCAAACTGGTCAATATCTTATAGGTGTTAGGAATTACGTTACCCATTATCACCACCCTACCAAAAGTTATTTTGACCTCACTAAGGATAGAGTGTCCGGCTTTAAAGACAACATCGTTGAACATTTTCCACACAAAAAGGGTTATTTAGAAGGCTCCATGGATATATTATACAAATTTAAGGACGATGTTATGGAATCAATTTATCCTCACCGCAAAGGATACTTTGAAAAAGCTAGAGAAACAATTATAAATGCAGCCCATCAAATTAACGGTGCTCAATCGCAAAGTGCCGTAAAGTCCATTATCGATAAGGCCCGCAAATCCTTGACAGAAAAGAGTGAACATTTTGCTAAGATCGTTATGCTCAAAAAACATGATTCTACACTCATGGATAGACTATCGGACGATTATTATGACAGCAAATCTTATGTTGAATCCACAGCTGCTATGCTTATTGATTCTGCTAAACGATTAAGTAGTGCAGGTGTGGAAGATACCCACAGCATAATTGATCAAACCAGTCAGTATTTAGTAGGTGTTAAAGATTATATTATTGGGAATCATCCTAAAAGTTATTTTGAACTCACCAAAGATAGGGTGACGGATATGAAGGATACCATAATTGATAATATATATCCGCATCATCGATCGAATGGTTATTTTGATAAGGCCAAGCAAACTATAATGAGATCAGCTCTACAATTGTCCGGAGCTAAATCTCCACACGACACTAAATCTATTGTTGAAAACGCTAGAAAATCTCTCACCGACGCTAGCGAATATTTTAAAGATGCCATAACTATCAGACGTAAAGAACCTCTGAAAGAGACTATATTGGAAAACTATTACGATAGCAAGTATTACATTGAATCAACAGCCGCTCTTATACTGGAAACTGCTAAAAGACTGACCACTGCTGGAGCGCAAGATGCTCAAGCAGTTCTTCACGCAACGGGCCAATACGTTGTAGGACTGAAGGAATTTGCCTTACCTGGACAAAAATCTAACAGCTATCTGGATGTGGCTAAGGATAAAGTGGCCGAAATTGTGGATGCAGTATCCTCACCCAAAAAGGCTCTGTATCATACCGTGTTTACGAACAATATTTTAGACAAGCTTAATAGAGCTTCAGATGCAATTTTTAATTATATACCTCTTCCGTTTGTTAAAAAAGAAAAAAGTTTACTGGAACGCTTTGCTGAAAGGGTCAAAGGATATGCCAAAGTGTTACATTATTAATTTAAATTAGTCATGCATTGTGTACACATCTTATTATGGAAGAATATTGATAGTAGAATTAATTATTTATTTTATTGAAAAATTTCATTCATCAACCATATTATTTAATACCAGATTATTTACCACATCCCCTCCTCCATTAATATTAATAATAAAACGAATTTTTAACATGAATTGTGATTTTGGCCCTTATTGCATTATTATTTTTTATTATATTATAAAAACCTGAAACCCATTATCTAATTTTTCTTAAATACTTATATTATGTACTTTTTAAGAGTAACTGTGGTCAGTGGTGTACTTAGGATTTTATTAAAAGGGGAAAGAAAGCTAACGAATAGTTTATTTAGGGAAAAAGACGGTGTTTTATTATTTATTAGGTGGAGAATAAATTATGCCCCCCCCTCCACCCTTCATGCGCCACTGCCTATAGTTGAAATGCAATTTATTATATTTTACTTTTTTTTCCTTATTCATGAAACTAGTCTTATTTATGTAAATATAATATATATTTATTAATTTTAAAAAATAAGTATTTATTTATATTTTTATCATATATTATGTTGCGTAAATGTATTTTGTATTTAAAAAAAGATTATTTTTTTTAAATTTCCTAATTTTTAAATTGTTTTAAAAAATTATTACTTTTAAATCTACGAACGAAAAATATATAATATTAATATATACTCACATGAATTATCAAATTATGTAGCTAGTTTTAGTTTATATAAATAAATTTACTAATATAATAATATATTTTTATATGAATTTTCCCACTCTCAGTCATTTAATTGAATTTATAAGAAAAATTAAATCTGAGGCCAACTTATAAAATCTTATATTTTAAAATAGATAAGATAAAAGAGTTAGGATAGGGCCTAATAGAATTTTTCTGAAGTAAAAACCAGGGATCAAAACATTATGTGATTTTAGGTGGTTCTAAATTTTTCATAATAAATTTAAAATGAATGTTAGATAAGCTAAAAATTAATTTTATTTATTTAATCTTTACTATATTAAATATCATTTAAAGTATCTTCAGATAATTTCGTTCTTAGCCACGATAAAATGAAAAAGATCTTGATCTCTGGTAAAAATTCGCAACTATTTTTTATAGTAGCGAAGTAGCTTTTATTTTAAATATAATAATAATAAATATTTACTATAAATTAATTTAATTATAATTCTCCGTAATAATATTAAGATTATATGTTCTATATCTTTTTGAACTCATTAGAATATAATATTAAAACAAGTAATGTGACTCTAAAATTAAATTTCCCATATTGTTTATTTTTATATTATAATGTTCCATTTCCATGTCCTATATAATTTGGGATATGGAACAGTAATAGCTTATTATAATCTTCGTAGTTATTAGCACATCGTTCCATCTCGAATTATAAGGTGAATATATCATGTTTAAATCTAGAGTTCGTCTAACAGACTGGGACATCTTTAAAAATTTTAGGGCCGGGCAAAAAATATTTTTAAATTTTCTCAGACCGTATTCAGATTTCTTCAAGAAATTTCGGGTTGTATTCAGCGGACAAAAATTTATTTCGATTTATGTTTGGGAGCCGGACCTTGAAAAAAAGGTCGGATGAATATGATTGAATATTGTCTCTGGTGATATTATTTTAAAGGAAATTCAATCCATCCATTTTTTTCTGATATTTGTGTGATTTTTTTAGATAATTTGCCCGTCTACCAATATATGTTTATGTTCATTTCCAAATTTAATCATTCAAATGTTGATAAATGAATGTGATTTTTTGATATTATCTACAAATATTTACAATCTTTTTTAAATTTGGAAAACATAACAATAATATTTTTTTAATAAAAGCGAGAATTAAAGTGCGAGAAAAATAATGATTATTTCAATTTGCTCAAAAAAGCTGAGTGAGATGTTATAAATTTTTTTTAGAAAATCGTGACACATGGTAAATCTACCTGCCGCTAACAAATTTTTTTAGGATATTCATTACTCATTAGATATTTTACGAAAAATAATCCGACGCTATATATCATTACTAGATATTCACTAGGTCGAATATTTATTATGAGGTGGTAGTATTAGAAAGCAGATGTGGATTATTATTTAATATTCAAGTTGGACAAGTACATTTTTTTAAATTTTATTTATTTTTATAACTGTCAATTCAACTACTTTCTTACCTATTTCATAAGTTTTATATAGATTTTAAATATATTTTGAATACTCCACCTAATTAGTTCACTAAAAGCTGCTCCAACAGGCTTAAAAATGAATTGGCTCTCCTACGTGTGGATGATTAACTTTCACCCTTTTGATTATTTGCCAAAGTTTACAGTGATAATGCGCAACTCAGGTTATATACCTTGAGCTGAGAACAAGTTAGACTTCGATCTTAAGCTTGAAAAAAAACAGATCATGTTAGAGAATATTAGACGCGGATTTAGGATTAAAGAAACATTGAGTTAGCGTTCCGTTTTTATAATAAAACTCATGGGCGTCAAATGACATGAGTACTAACCTAGACTGACAATTCATTTATTAGAAGTGTACTTACATTATAATAAATGTCATTTGCTGAAGTAGAAGCCATTGAAAAACATGTTCTCTATTTAGTACCGCTGCACTAAGATGTGCCTATGCCGGCCCGCAATAGTTTCAGGTAGGACTTCCATGAGTCCTTTTTTAAAAATATGTCCTGTCCAGTATTTATTTTAATTGTTCTCTTTTTTGAAAATAATTTTTTTTTTACATATACTAATATTTGCACTTATATAAGATATGTAACTCTTAATCGTATGTTGCAGTATTTAAGTAAAAACTCAAAAAAATATAGGCAATTATTCATAACATTGAATTTGAAAATGGAAAGCATATCATATATGCTTCTTTTTTTTTAAACAATTTTTAAAAAATACCATTCATTCTGATGTTTGTTATTGTTTTTTTAAACTTAATTCTTATTTTTTTAAATAAAAAATATTACTTAGAATTAAAAATCTACCATATATTGTCAGAATTAATTTTTTTTGAAAATGATTGAAATGAAGCATCCGTGGTTTGCCCATTCCTTGATGTATGTGTTTGATGAAAAATTAAATCAGTTCAAAAATAAAATAATTCAGTTTTTGAGATGTTAAACTATTTAAAATCGTTGAAAAAAAATGAAAGTTTGTCTCCAAAAGTAAAATCAATATCTCAAACAAATATTTAAAATGGACAAAAAATCCGAGTATATGCACTGAAAGATGATTTTGATCATTGGTAAGAACCTCTATAAGAATTAAAAATTTTCAAATGGATGGAAATTAAATTAAAAATGTTCCTAGGTGATGAGATTTAGAAAAGTCTATAGATTTATTTAAAAATAAAAATGTTACCTTGAAGGAGTCAAAGTTGTTCGACGAATTTTGCAACCTTAAATAGTTTTTTACTGATAAGTTGGGGTGTGTTGAATATATAAGACTTCCTTTTCACCAAAATGGGTCATATATTTCTCTGATATTTCAATTCTTGAACATAGTGAACTGCTAATTATAGCAAGCTTCATTTTTGCTTTACCAATCAATAAATAATCAATGAACAAATAAGAGGAACAGATTATCCGTGGAATTTATAAAAGCAATTGTATGCACGCAATACATTTTAAATTATTTTTCTATAAACTTTTAGGGAAAAAGCCAAATTAATTTTTTTAAATTCATTTTAATGCCTTATTTAAAATACATAAAAATTATATCCTTTCTACTAAGTAGGATCTAACAACCCTGTGTCAGCAGGTGCTACTTTACAATCTATGAAGGCGAAATTAATGCAGATCATTGTATCTGACTTTCCCTATTACCTCTCTTATATCATTAAGATGTTGATAATTTTTATTAAAGAAGTTATTTTGAATAATTAAGAGGGGGGTGAGTAATATTTGACAAGTTTTTCCCATTAATATTTATTGGAGGGCTAGACTCGCTTATTATAAACCTTTGGCAGGGTGACATCTATTGAAAAATATTTTTGTTATTTTTATTGAAATGTTTTTTTCTGAAAATTTTGATAAAGTATTAACTTTCACTTATTTCTACTCTTTAATGATTATTTATAGTGACATTTATATACTTTTGGGAAAAAACCTCCTCCCCCATTAGATACACCTTTAAATCAACAGCCGGAGAGATCTGTAATATCCCCTCAACACAGAATTGGACAGATCCTCAAAAAACAATCTAGATTCAAATATAGATTTTTTGTAAAAGGAAGGATCATTATTATATTGTATCATTGCTAAATGAGAGCCTTTAAATATAAGATATTTCCTATAAAATGATCATTTCCTATTAAGTTTGAAGTTAGGTATAGAATAACATTTTATATTTATTTTTGATGATATGTATATAATTAGAGAACTAATTTATTTGGAATTTTTAAATATATATATTAATATAGCTCATTTTATAATAAGAATGAATATATACAATATATATTATATTTAATGATAAGATAGATTCATAAACATTTTAATATTAATTTTAGTTTATTCATAACATTAGAGGAAAGAAGACTAGTAGTTTTTATGAAGTTTAAATATTTATTTACAATACAGAGTTTTTTAAAATTAATTATTCTATTTTATTAAATCAAAATTAATTTTTTTAACTAGTGAATCTTAAAAATATTTTATCCTTTAGCCTATCGGTCGGAGTATTTCATTGTGCCAAAACTGAATAACCTTTCAATTGGAGCTGATAATTGCAGTATTATACTTTAAAAATCCTTAATGGAAGAATAATAATTAAGTGTTTCTAACATATTTCTAAAGATAATTCAATATTTCTAGCTAAATCTTATGTGCATTATTAAACTCAGAAATAATTATTTCAATCTAAGGTGAGTTTGATTATGTAATAATAAAACCAGGTCGTCTTTTAATAATATATTTATAGGGTATTTTTTTTTATCATCTGACTCAATCCATATATTCTTAAAGTATGGATTTGATAATGATTTCAAAACATCTCATTATATTCATCATCATAGAATAAAATGTACCCAAATTATCCTTTAACATCTTCGACAACTCTTAAGGTAGACAATATTTCGAAAGTTGTTATGAATTAAATAATTTATCATTATTTTCACTAGTATATTATTTCAAATAAATATTTGACGAAAATATCATTTTCACTAATATATTATTTCAATTTTTTATTAACGAAAACAACATCTTTGTACAAGGCTATTACTTTTATTTTCCTTCTTTTAATTTTATTATTCAAATACTTTTAATACCTTACTTTAAAAATACTATATATATAGCATTTATTTTAACGATCATTATTCTTTTTTTTATTTAGATATTATAATAATTTAAAATAAAGATGTAAAATATTAATTAATTTCTTAAAGATTACATAAAATCCAATTAAAAATAAAATGATCCTCAAAATAGTGCCTACCTGACCTCTGCTGGGAATCGGTCAGCTAATATGATCTCACACCTAATTTTGCAAAAAGCGTATTCATGCAAACCAGCATACCAACATCAGATTTTAGGATATGACATAGATGCGGAAGGCATATATAGTGGAAATGTGCCTTGAATGTCCATGTTTTTGCTTTTTTGAAAAAAGGTATTAAAATTTATGTTTAACCAAACAAATTTTATATCAATGTGTAGCCTAAATCTTAATCTTTAAAATAAAATTTTAAGAGCTAAATGAGATTACGTGAAAGTTGTTTTTCTATATATTGACTGGCCATATACTATGTGTTAACTGGCCATAATATATTATTTAAAAATTTTATTATAAATATGAAATAATACAATATGAAATACTTGTTAAAGACCTATGTTAATATTTTTAAACTTTTTAGTTATATAAAAAATTAATAATACACTAATTGAATTAGTATTAAAATCTCAATTTATCACAATCTATTTGATGATAATATATAAATTAATATCTAAATTATCATTTTGCAAAATATTCTTAAGCTTGTTTATCTTTTTAAATTTCACCAAATGTTGTTTTGCAAGAGCTTTTCATTTTAATATGAATATGTGAATGTGCTAATTGTGGCCAATCAATACATGGCCAGACAATAATCACCTTTCTATTATTAAGCGCCTTTATATGTCTATTAAGTAAAGCTTTTAAAGTCTAATTTTTTTGTGTGAATAATGTTAAATGCCGAAAGATAATATTTATATAAAATATAAGCAATCTAAATTAATAATTATTTCAAAAAAATGTGACGTGATTTTCCCAGAAAGAGGTAATAAAACTAGTTTATTTAAAATATTTTTTTATCGAATTGCTCTATTCAATAAATGAACTTAGGTAAGGTACATATCATAAATATACACATTTTGACCAATTTTGAGAGAAAGTGGTTCAATGGTTAAAAAGATAAAGGGTGATGGCCAGTCTTAACACATGGCCATTTATGGAACATTTCCCCTACTAATCGAGATAAAATTAAAGCTATAATCAACATGCCAGAGCCAAAATCATATGATGTACTTTATACATTTTTATGAATGGCAAGTTACTACAGAAAATTTTTGAATAATTTTGCAGACCTCGCAGACCCACTCTACAAAATAGTCAATATAGAAAAGTGGAAATGGGAAGCTGAAAATGCTAAAATTTTTGATGAAATTGAGACATTAATTAGTCAACCTCCTACGTTAAATTATTTTAATCCAAACTTATCTATTGGAATAGATGCTGACTCATCCAAACATGGACTTGGAACAGAACTTTTTCATATAGGTGACGGAATAAAACCTGTAGCATATGAATCAAGAACGTTATTAAAAGCAGAGATAAACTACACAAACATACAGAGACGCTCTATTCATAATAGGATTTGAATATCTCATAGTGACAAAATTTATATTCATCATTGACCATAAACCCTTGTACATCATCGCCAAAGACTTAAAAGAAAACACTTCAATTCAATGTGATTGTAAAAATAGAATATAGCGGGAGATTACGATTTCAAAATAATCTATAGAGCAAGAAAATACAATACAGTTCCTGACTGTTTATCACGATTACCACTCGTTGTAAATGATGAAACTGTCGATATAGTTATTGATACTCCAAAAAATGATTTACGGGACATTCCGACAATTTTAACAAAGTTTTAGATGAAACACACAAAGCAAAAAAATATCAGATATTATTAACGATATAAGAAAAGGTGATCGTATAAAAAATAAATCGCACAAAAACATGGATTAGAAAAATAAGTTGAAAATAATGCACGAGTTAATTTTAATAAATATTTAAAAAATATAAAAGGATTGAATTTCTTATTATTAATTCATAATATACTTCTTCATTATATTTTTTTTTCTCATTTTTTAATATACATATTTTTTTACGTGATTACTTTGTAAATTTATATACATGCTGCTAATAATTCTTATGAATATTTTTGTGCAATAATCTATATTTTCAACATTTTTTTACAAAGTTCTTTTTCTAGACCTTTATTCTATAATTCACATGTCGATTATATATGTTAGCTTCACAATGTATTTTATCCGGCAATTTATTAAAATTCAACTTTAAATAATTTTTTAAGTGCTTTTTTAAAATTAAAAATCTGATTTTACAGACCAATCTACTTAGAATACCTATCATATGAATTGCTGACAATTTTGCCGTTAATGTTTGAGTCATTTATAATTGATATAAAAAATTTATGGAAAAACTAATATAAATTATATTGATTTTATGGCAAAATTTTCTGAAATTCATAGAATAGGTATCCCAAACATGATGGAATATATTTGAGACACCCAAACATGATGGAATATATTTGAGACAGATGGGGTGTTTTAAAAATGTATTTTCATTGCTTCAGGGTAAAATATTTAATATTGTGAATTGAATCGCTAAAAAAATATTAAAAACTCATGATCTTTTATTGAATAATTACCCATCTATATCATATAAAAAAATTTATTAAAAACAAATTATACATATATCTTGATATAATTATATTACTTTGTAATTGTGCATTTATAAAAAAAGGGAAATAAATATCAAGAATGGAGCATTAACAGGGCAATTGAAGAAATGAGAAAGATTCACAATCATCATTTTTTGTAGAATATAATCGCATTAAGTAGTCGATATCGTTACAAATTTCACCATTATTATAAAAGTGTTTCAATTGACTGTGTATAAATAAAAGAGAAATGTTTAATCATTTTTAAAATAATCATATCAAAAACCCTTTAAATATCATTTTTTTCATACGGCTATCCAAATATGAATTAAATAATTAAGACAATAATATTAAAAATCAATTTCAAGAAAAATAGTCTAAATATCCAAGATCAAACCAATAAGTAAAATAATTAGTTAAGGTTTTTTTTAGTTAGTTAGTAGTATATCTCCTATTCTAAGAAGAAGTATATGTTAAATTTATCTTTACTAACATTATCAAATTTTTGAAGAATTTTTTTATAAGAAAACCAAAAATTTATTTTTAGTCTAGTAACCAAGAAAAATGAGATTATACGAAAACAATTGGGTTCTTAATAGATTTAACTAGATATTAATTCTTAAATAGTCCTATACTTTACTAAATTTATGCATCCGTATTATGTATATTTTTACCCTTCCCAATTCACCATTAATATTCTTGAAGAAATCGATTGCTGCTATCGGGCTTATTCAGAATGAAATCTAATAAATTGAAAAGATTCAGGATAGTATTATGGTAGAGAGGTTTGTAACCGGCTTTGATGATCTGAGTATCATTAGACCCCAAACGGGGTAAAAGGTAATTTATATTTTTCTCAAGCAGTGATATGCCTACTAAGGCGTTAACGTTGTCACCCTTTTTGAGATAAAGCGTGAATAGGTCTCTATAATAAAATTTAAATAAATAAAAAAATTAACAAAACGAATAGGAAAAATTTGAATATAATAATATTTTTAAATAAAAATAAAAAATCTTATTTCATCTTATTTATTGTTAATTGCAAATTAAAAAAATATATTTCGATAGTATTCAAAGCAATAGGTTTTAAGTAAGTTTGTTTTTTTAAGTTTATAATTTTATTTTGCATAGCTACTCTTATTTAAAATTCGACAAATTTCATATTCTTGTGAAGATATATAACAATGTGACCCATTGGGCCCAACGATATTTTACCTTGATGTTAAAACATTAATATATTCGATCTAAGCTTTAAAGTCTATTAAATACACCTGGTATTTGGATAATATCTTCATAGCATATGACATCTCTTTAATAAATATCATTCCTGAGATTATTAATGCCCACTACCGGGCTATTTTCCAACATGTCAAAGTCGGAATTTTCTCCCATCAATTCTTCCCAATCCTCCTTTTCAATTATTCTTTTATCCAGGAACTTACTCATCTCGGGTTCTCCAATTGGTGGTGGCACTGCAATTAAGACCTTTTTAGACAAAACTTATTCTATTAGTAGACTAGTTTTAAATAAATTGCCAGTCCATCAGGGGTTCCTTCAACTCAAAAATTATCTCAACGTACCCAAGATCATATATGCTACGAAATCTGCCACAATATTTCATCACAAAGATCTCATGTTCAAGCATGATTTGCATATCCGCAAATGGAGGGATTAGTTTTTGTCTCACTTCCCTCCCCTCTCTCATACTGCTTATATCTACTAGCAGATCAAGTTTAATACCTACAGGCAGGGGTTCGAACAGAACCTGAACCCGGAGAAGAAAACCAGGGTTTTTGGGAAAAAAATGAACCCGAACCGAACCTGAACCCCGTTTATAAAATTTTCAAAACCCCGAACCGAACCCGGGAATTCTATTTGAACCCGGGTTCAACAGGGTTCAGTGTGTATTGTTTAAATTAAGTAAGATATTTGTATAATTTTAAATACAAATATTAATAATTTACTTGACATTAGTGTGTATTGTTTAAATTAAGTAAGATATTTGTATAATTTTAAATACAAATATTAATAATTTACTTGACATTTTATAATATATTCAAATTTCCAATTAAAAGAAGTGTTAATAAATTTTAAACAACTTAATTCATTTACTCCATTTTTAAATTTTTTTAAATTTATTCTCAAAGATTCCTATTGGATTGTTAATAAATTTTAAACAATTAAATTCATTTACGCCATTTATTTTTAATTTTTAACTTATTCTCAAAGATTATTTGAAAATGAAAGTGAACAAGTCAAAGTAAAAATTATTATATTAAATATTGTTATTTTAAAGAAATACGTCTAAATAAATTTTTTTAAATCTATACATGACTATGCTTTGTATTTTTAACTATATTTTGCTTATAAATAAATTAAAAAATTTATTTTTTATACGAAATTTATGTCTAGTTTTTTAAATGATTTAAATATAGAATATTTTTTTTATCAATTCAAATATTCTTAAACCCGAGTTGAACTCGAAACCAAACCCGGGTTCAAAAATATTTCCCTGAACAGAATCCGAACCAAACCTACCTATTTTTTTTAATTTTAAACCGAACCCGGTCAAAATTTTGCCAGGTTCGCATCCCTACCTACAGGTCATGATCTTGATCTAGAAATTGATATTTACACTTGGAGCAAGGTTAACCTGACATTATTGGTATTCTGCTTCGTCTCAGCTGTGATATATCACTTCCTTCCAAATATATTAATTGTTCTTTACCATCTGATTCAAAAGTCCAAAGGCGGCCTCCCACGGCATACAAACTGATAACTTAATCTCAAAAGTTAAAAGGAATATCCCAAATACACTAGAGCCCAATCCTTCATGATCAGGCAACGCAAAAATTTTATCCGGAATTCCTTAAATTTATCAAATTATTAGGGAGAAAATTATTCCAAATAAGTGGCGATCTTAATGAAACCTTCTATTTCAAACAAGCCATTAGGATGGTTATTTATCAAAGTAATTGCATTGCTATTCTTAGTTCCATATACCAATGCAAGTTAGCCGTTTTTTTTAATTGTTTTTAAACAAATAATAAAAAATAGAAGCAAGCAGCCCATCTGCGCCCAATGAAAAGATAAAAAAGTATTTGTTGATATGACCGATTAATACTAACCTTTAAATTGTTTTTTTTATGTTGATATAAATTGATTTTTTTATAAATTGTGTAGATTGATTTTTTTTATAAATTTTTATATATTAATATGAAAATTGTTATATAAACCTGATTTTTTAGTTTGATAATTTTAAAATATATTATATAAAATTAAATTATTAATTTAAAATAAAATAAATAATCTCGTACCAATCATCTATCTTAGAAAACTTTATGGTGGCAGTTCCGCTACATATTCGAGGAAATCGTAAATAAATAAATATTAAACAGATTCCCAAAATGTTAATATAAATATTGAATTTCCAATATACTCAGGCAATGGCGATCTTTTTTTGAGTAGATTCGAAGACATCTTCAAGGACACACAGATCTCGGACATTAAAAAAGCAGGTTCCTTTACGAGAAGACTACCAGATGAGGTATACATATATCAAATTAGACGAACTAAATAAATTGGGCTATAATGACTTACAAAATATTCTAAAATCCATAGACTATGATTTTAGCTACTGGAACATAGACAACTAGATAAAAAAAGTTCTGGAATGTAATATTTATATCATTCTAAAAACACGTAAGAAATGATTTATTTGAAAAAGTGAAGAATAATTTAAAAAATTTAATGATAAATCTCTAAATTATGAATAAACCTATATGGGACAATAATAATAAAACAAAGTCCATTGACAAGTTAGAAGATTATTTAAAATTTCATGATAGTAAGAATACTCTAAGCTTAATAGGTAATTTACCAGATGAATTATATTTAGTCATGAAAGCAGTGTTTCCAAGAGAATTAAATTCAAGTTATGATGAAACATAAGTGTTTATGTAATTATAAATAGGCTATAGAAATAAAAGAAAATTGTTCTAATAAAAATTTTAGTAAATCTAATAATGAGAATTATTTTAAAAATAGAAAATTAGATAAAGAAACACATTATTATAAAAGAAATTATCATTATAATTGTAAATTTTTTAGTATCAAAAAATTGAAAAATATTGAATTAAAACCCAATATTCAAAAGGAAAGAGATTCTTATAAACTAAAAGAAATAAATTATATAATAAAATTTGAAACATTTGTGATTATAGAAAATAAGGAAATAAACTTTAAAGAAAATAAGGAATAATCATTAAAGAAAATAATGAAATAAAAAAAACTCTTACTAAATGCGATAAAAAAAAATTGAAACTTATAAATTTGAAGACAATTAAAAGTATTACTAAGAGAAGTCATATAAAAACTAAACGTCTTCATCCTAGATTAATACTCAAGGATGTGATGAAGAGATCTTTTTCTACAAATTTGAGGTTCAAAAAATTATTTTTTACTAAAAACAATCTTATGAATAATTATTATTTCAAAATACTTTTTAAATTAAAAAATAAGGGCATAAAGTTTAAATTTCTGAAGAGAGAGATGGATGTACAGACGTACATATCATCTTATCATCTTTAATTAAAAAATATATATATAAAATAAAAAAAACGCTAAAAATAATCTAACAATCTTGTTGATTTATCATCCTTTTATTATTCTAACATCCAAATTTGATCGATTCTCTAATTATTCATATATTCCGAAATCGTATTTAATAATGATAATTTTACAATTGGTATTAATAACAATTTTGTAAAATTGACAATGATAATGATGGAGCTTAACGACGAGCCAGCGTACTCAGGACGATATTAACAAACCAACGTGATAGAATCAAGCCAACGACTATAATGACTTATGAACGACTAGAACAATCATATGCACAACCAAAATAAATATCATTTTCCAAAACGAAGCTATGACAGACTGCACGATAAGATTCATATGCAAGAAAAACCTGAATGGAGATCATTTTTTTAAAGGGTGGAATGTTGATGACCCATTAATACTAACCTTTAAATTGTTTTTTTATGTTGATATAAATTGATTTTTTTATAAATTGTGTAGATTGATTTTTTTTATAAATTTTTATATATTAATATGAAAATTGATATTAACCTGATTTTTTAGTTTGATAAAAAAATGTAAAATTTTAAAATATATTATATAAAATTAAATTATTAATTTAAAATAAAATAAAATAAATAATCACGTAACATACATTTATCTTTAGAAAACTTTAGTATTTCAACAATTATATTTATTAATTAGGTTTTTGATATTGAAATTTTTTTTTTGCAATAATCATAAATATAGCTAAAATTAAATTTTTTGTGAGTCATCATTTTCATGTGCCTTTTTAATTTATAATGCCTAAAAGAGTATGTTGATCTTTAAATGGCCGATTCCCACGGTAACCGGCAACTCGACCTTATCTTACGTGCATTTAAATTGGGAGATTGCATTTAGACTTCAACCTATCTGCATCTGTCCCGCAATTCCTTGTCAAGGAGTCAACTTATTTATAACTTCATCCACATAGATCCACTCCATCTAATCAAAACAACGATGCTCTTGAACTTACCAAATCTCGATCAAATGCAGTTCTATTTATTATTCTTACTCATTATACGTATGGTCTGTTCTCCTTTGACCCTTTTAGTAACAAAGCCCAAACTTTTTTTTAAAGAATTAGGGAGACCGGACACGTATTCGTGAAAATATCGATCACCTCAAAGAATCTCCTTTTTCATGGCAAAGGCTTGATATCGTTATTATTCGGTCTAGCTATCTTAGCATCATCTCTTCCATCAAAAATCTCACCATTTCTAATTACTCATATCATATCTTCTCTCCTCTATATTCATTCCGTCTTTTACTTTTCCTCCAATTTTATTTAAATTTTGTTTTCTTATCTTATCTTATCTTCTCTTATTTTATTATTTATCCTATCCTACTATACACAATATTTTTATTAATTTTTAAAATAAAATGAAGTATTTATTTTTCATTTAAATATTTTATATTGCAATAATTATTTAATTTATAATTTTAAGAATAGATCAAAAATGTAGTTTTATATTAAATTTTTGAACTTAACAATTGAAAAACAAGATAAACCCGAAAAAATAGATAAAACTAGGCAACTTAAAATTTTCCCCAGAATAACGAACAGTTCGCGCCTACCATTTAACGAAAAAAATGTAAAAATTTTCAAATTACGTCAATCATCAAATCTTAAGCACATAAAAATTAAACTGCAAACGCTGGAACCCATGGAATTCATATTCACGAAGCAGAAAATTCAAATTCAAAAAATTAATTACAACTATTGCATCTTTTTAGGGACCCAATTATGTTTTTCTTAATTTTTTTCTTTTTTTTTGTTTTTAAATGTATTTAAATTTTATATATATATGTCGTGGGATATGGAATTCGTGGGGAATCGGAATCTCTCGATTTTAAATCCTAAATCGAGGGCGATTTAACTAAATTTTAAATGTGATTTAACCGGAAATGTATTCTAGCATGTGTAGAGTATTTACCCTATAAATTTCTGCCTATTTCCGTATTAGGCATTTTAGTATTTTTTAATTTATATGAAAAATCCATATAAAATTAATACGAATTAGGAGTATTTCTAAAGTTCATGGCAAAATTATTTGAAATTTACAGCTTGGATACTATATATATGCTGAAATATATTTCCTGTTAAATCAGATTTTTAAAATTTAAAAATCACACTTAGCAAATGATTCAAAAATCGTGAGATTCCGAATCCCCATGGATTCTATATCCCAATAAGACATATTATAAATAAACGACAAAAAAAATAAAATCAAAATAATATAATATAATAAAAAAAAACTCTATAAAATAGTTTTTAATAATGAAAGTAAATGTTTAAAAAAATCCATTAATTTTTAAAAAGGGTTTGAGTTCACATTCCTGGATTTAGCTTATAATTTCCTGCAGAATCCGAGCTTTGTTTGACGATTTAAAAAAATATATAGATAAAAAAGTGTCTAGGTCAATTTAATTACAACCCCCCTCCCTCTCCCCTATTATAAAAATAATATTTGTGAAAAATCTATTGATTACGTTTTTTCCCTGATCAATAAGATTTCCTTGTTAAGGTCCGGTAATATTTCGTAAATCTGGGGAAGAGGGGATGGGTGGAAGGTTATAGGGTAAGGTAAGGGTGTTTCGTACAATTCCGAAAGAAATTTTATCAACTGACATAAATGGTCTAGCGCTGCATTTATTTCGTTCTGGTTATGAGATTTATCTAAATTAATAAAGATATAAGCTGATATTCGATAATAAAAATTCATTATACAATTGAATTCCATTTTTATCCTAAACATGATAAAACAATAAATAAAATAAAATGCAACTTTTCAAAATTCAAACATAATTAAAATCAATTTCTTGGCTCAAAAATAAAAAGAAAAATGTTCATAGAGGATTAAAAAATCGAAATAGGAATTTAAGATTACTAATGCAAATAATAAAATCCTTTTATTCATTCAATTTTATATATTTTTCAAAGCGCTAATTATAATCATTTACAGGTACAAGATAAGGGGTAAATGTAATTAGAAATTCGATCTGAGGTAGACAGTTGAATTAAAATGATTTTTTTGAACTCTTAACTCCCAATAGAATTTATAGTTAATATAGCATTTGTTGCCTACTTTGACCCAAAATTAATTTCAATAAAGATAGTTAAACTGTTTAAACTAGACAACAAGAATAAAATATTAACATTGAAAGCAATTTTTTTTAAAAAATTAAACCCATTTCGTTGATAGTGAATGTCCTAGTGAGATGGTCATTTATGATCTTCACGTTGTTAATGCCTCTTTCTGATTCCTTGTGATTCAAAACATAGTTTTCTGGAATAGAGATTTCGGCACCTTCCAAATCTCGAGAAAGCCTCTTGTTATCTTTAAATACATCAAACATTACGTTATACTGCGTTCTTTTTAAAAACACATATAAAGAAAGGATATTCCTTTTTATCATAGCACTTTTGTAAAACTTTTATTCAAAATTTTTATCATTCTAAGCTTAAGTTTTTCATTTCAAATTAGTCAGTATCATTTTAAACTTTGCATGTATCAATTTAAATGCGCAAAATAAGTTTAAAATGATAGTTTACAGGTTTAAAATATTGACTTCAAGTTTAGAATAATATTTTTACAAGGTAAAATGTTATAAATTGTAAATGTTATGATATTTTTTTTAAATAAAATAAATGAACTAAGAACTTTAAAAAGATATTTAATCCATATCCATTATAAGACACTTCATGGTCAAGTATTTTGTAAGGGGGAGGGGAGAAGAGGGGCAAGGCAAGTTACACAAGCACATCAGTAAAAATGGTATACATTGTCTAATTTAAAAAAGAGATAAGAGAGATAAACTAAAATAGGAGAAATAAATATAAGATTGATAAAAAAAATGAGTCTGTAAATAGAATCGAGTCCAAAGTAAAATCTTGAAAATTCTGGTTATTATTTAAAATTTTTGTGATAAAATAAATTATAAGGTTCAAATAATAATTAAACCATTTTCTAGGGAAACACTATTACTATTATCACCGACATTGATAAATCGAGGCTTAACTCCAGGGCAGTTGTGAAACGAAATGAGAATTAAAAGTTCAGGTATTTTGGCTTGTGTTATGGCGAAAAGTGTGGGCTGGTTTTTACTGTTAAATCGACTTAGGGTAAAAATATTGGACAGGGCTCCTTTCAAAAATCCTCTTTTTAGATCGCACAGGAAATTACGTTTACGTGTCACTTTTTCACGTAATTGGGTCAGGCTTAAATATACATTTTGGTGCGTTGCATTTCGAATGTTATTACTTGGCGAAGGGGATGCAGAATCAACTTCGTTGACATGATCAGAACTAGGAAAGTGATTTTTACTTTTCTCGCTATCAGAGATATTCATATGATGTTCGAGTCCATTGGACACTACTATACTTGCTATTTGTGAACTCTTTGTAATATTGTCACCAATTTTTTCGTTCTTAAATGTTACTAGTTTGCTGTACTTTGTGGTATTTAGAAAAGTTAATCTTTCGAGAGATCGTCTGCTTTCACGTTCGTAATTATTTTGAGCCAATTCGAACAATTTATGCAAGCCATTCAATTTTTTTTCAAGCTCCATCAACAAGTTTTTATCGCTTATTTTAGCAATCAATTTTTTAGAATTATTAAAAGTATCGGGGTCTGAGTCATATTCGTTATTTATTGAATCGCGCTTAGCTCCGATTATTTGGTTTGCTAAAATACCGTTTGAGCTTTGTATACAACTTCTATTGGCTAAGTTTTGGAACAGAGCATAATGTCGCAATTTTGGATGAAAGCATACTGTATCTTTAAGATTATACAATTCATCCAGCTTGGTAATAAGCTCCAAAACTATTTTCAATATTTTTGAATTTTTGATTTCTAATTCAATGATTTTTTATATATAGAAAATACTTTGTAAAAATAGTAAAAAAAATTACTAGTGTGAAATTATATTAAAATTTTGTAAACACTAGAGAAATTGTGATAATGACATGTGTAATAAGTAGAATATTTCATAACATCATCCACAAATGATATAATGTAAATATTTTATAATTTATAATCTAATTTGTAAACTAATCCTAAGCATATTTGTAATTTAAAAATACTTTTTTTAATTTTCTAAATCAAAAATTGAATTTTAGTCAGTTTATATTGTTTGCAATATAAAAATGGTATAAATTACTATAATAAGTTATTATTTATAGCAAAATACCAAATATTTTCATATCAAAAGAATATATATTTATAAATTTAACTTGTATATTCTTTCATTTGTAAAACATATAATAAATTGTCAATATTATTAGGTTTTAAGCTTGTTAAACCATCAATAATTTTCTGGTTTAATTTAAGATCCATCTCAGAGCAATGACTTTTATATTTGAAATCAATGGTTTTGATATAATGTACATTATTGGAATTATTCAAGTTGTTGGTTTTATTAATAATGTCAGTGGCATTCTTTAACAATATTAAATCAGGAAGTATAGGTTCATAAATATAGTCCAAAAATATTTTACTAAACAAATGCATACGAATAAAATGCCTGCTATTGATATTTTTATTTAAGCCATATTTATTTGTATCTTGGACATTGTTTTCCACTTTTGTATTCACACAAGATATCTCTATACAATCATTATTTGTATTAATATCCATATCAACATTATCATCATTTTTAGAAAAGTGGGGAAAATTTAAATCTATGAAAGATGATATGAAATTAACATTTTCGATATAAAAGTTTATCCAAAAATCTAAATTAAGCAAAGATTAAAATTATCATATAATCAATATATACTTTGCTGAGATGCTTCATATAATGTTAAACACTTAAAATCAGATGATTTAATTTTCCATTCTAAACATATTAATTGTGTATGTATTTGTTCCTAGATAAATTAAATTAATATATATATAAATTATAATTACTTGATCTAATAAATATATTGAGCTGGTATAAAATGCTTAAAAAATTAATTAATTTATATTAATCGTTTTATTTTATTACCAAAAGAATTTTCTTTTAAATGTAAAGTGAAGAATATTTTAATATCAATGTTTTGATCAAAACCAGATTCTTTAAAAAGATAGCCAAAATTATTTAAGGATATTTTATTAATATGTCTTAACTTTGCATAGCTATACATATTTAATTAAATAACCATAAAAATAAAATAAATAAAAATAAATTAAAAACTTTTAAAAAATTTAAATTTAATCAATCATATGTTTAATGCATGTCTGATAATAAATGCATCCTAATTTAAACCTGCTTACTTAAAAGCTAGGCGTTCAAGGCAATTTTTGTCAAAAAAAGCAAAAAAGTAGATTTTTTTGTAAAATATGCTTAGATATTTTAAAAATTATTTTGCTTATTATATAATATTTTAGATCTATTTAATATTACGATTAATTATAATTATCACCAGATTCATATTTCCAAACTGGAGAATATTAATAATTATTGAAACTTTTATTTTTGCTAGGAATATTTATGCTTATTTATAGGACAATGTTCACTGTTTATTAATTGAAATTAATATAAAATAAAACCATAGAATTTATCTGTAACACAAAACTTTCTTGTCTATGCTATGAACTGATGTGGGCTAGATAAATATAATCAAAAAAATATTTTGATATCTTCACATCTTGATTTTTTTTTAGGATGTTTATAATAAATTTTTTAAAATTTATTGGAATATATATTAATGAATAAAGTTTAGTTTACATATTATCTATACAAATTGAAATTTAAAGCATAAAAAGAAAGAAAGATTAACCAAAATTTTGAGTTCCAATCAAATTCCTATTAATTACTGTTAGAAAATTGTTGATAAATTGAGCAACTGTCTACTTTGAAAAGTGGAAAGTTTAATTTTTTGTCCATTTGCGTAAACCCAGAGGTGTATTGGGAGCGGGGTTAAACGGAAGGCCAACCCTCCCACTCTAATTTATTCTTAACCTCTTTTCAAATTTGAGGAGGAGCTAAGGTCCCACCCATACCCTCACTAAAAAATTTAATTAAAAGCCTTAAATTTGAATCCCACCTCCACTTATTGTTTTTAAAATCTTTATATAGTCAAAAAAAAATTTCATATTTTTTTATAGCATATAGAAAGAATTTATTTTCACTTTTTTTATAGTAAATTTTGATAAGTCACTACTGATTCCTTTTAAAGTATAGAGTAAGGTTCATCATCATCACCAATAAACATAATTAAACAGAGTTTTTAAGCGTCTATCATTTTAGCTTTGGTCGAGGCTTAAACTTAAAGGAAGTTCAATCTTGCAAAAATTATACTCTTGCTTAAAGACTTAGCAAATATTTTCGACTGTTGGGAATTAAATTAAGGGGATTTAAACTGCAGGTAGGAAAAAATCAAATTTTAACAAATTTGGGGGGGGGGGGGGGGTTATAAATTAAATTTTTAGCTAAAAAAGGGAAAAATATATTCTGATTTATTATTTTAATAATAGACCTATTTAATATATATTCGTAGTCAAAACCGGATAATTCCAAAGCGTTGGGACCGGAAAAATTAATTTTATCAAATATATCCAATTTTTTTCATTTATAAGATTAAATTCAATTTTTTGATAGATTTTAACCAATTTGTGTTATTGTGAGTAATTTATTATTTACATACATTTTAAGCATAAAATATTAAATTCGGCATCTCTTGTATATATGCTTATTGCGTTTATTAAAAAAAATTCAAATGATTAAAAATATGTTTTTCTTATAAAATTAAGACAGACTCATGATTTCAACATAATAAATGACTTTCTTTAACAACAATGATCCTGTTATGCCTCCATCTTCTTATCCTGCTCTTATCAATAGTATTAATTTGAAACCAATACCTACAACTTCAAGTTCCAACAATACCTACAACTATATCTTCATGTCTAGATAATAACATTAATTTAACCTCTATTGCTGGGGCACAAGAACGGCTAGAAAAATTTAGAAAAAAAGACTCCCACCAACAATAGCGCGCATTTCAAAAGGTGCTCGAATTCTATTTTCACAATTTTTTTTAGCTATTTTAACCTCCATAAATAAAAATATTAAAAGCTTAGATAATTGGATTAAATTATTATCACTTATATATTTAAATCTACATCCCCCAACATCAAAATCAAACTTAACACAAAACATCAAAAAAACATTAAATTCAAATGACATTAGTTATTTTGATATTTCCAAACAACCTCCACATTCTTTTAAAAGCTTTTGACAGATAAAAAAAAGGCCAAGCTTATTGAAAATAAAATCAACTTATGCAATATAAATTCAGCTATCAACATAGCTTGTTCCAGTGATACTAAGCCCCCCCCCCCAATAATGATAAAACTCTCATGGCCATACAATCTAAACATCCTCACGATTTTTCACAAATCATCCTCCCACCATCTAATAATACTACTCCACTAATCGATATGGAAATTTTGGATGCAATCATTTCATTCAAAAAAGATTCTTCTGGAGGCATTGATGGCTTTCGAGCCATTTACCTTCAAGATATAATTAAACCAACTTTACCCCTATATCAAAATACCCTAACACAATTTACCATATTGCTCAATCATATCTTTCATAATAATATACCTAATTCCATTCAGCCCATCATTTTTGGAGCCCGCTTAATATCCTTAAATAAAACCAATGGGGACATCAGACCTATTGCAATAGGGTCACTCTTCCAGCGAATAATTTTAAAAATAATTTTAAAAATAATTTTCTCCCGTATAAAATCTAACCTATCCAATCTACTACAACCAATCCAGCTTGGTTTTATCCTGGAGGATGTGAGACTGCATCCTACTCGACACGTGTCATCCTCTATAATATACATGATCTATGCATTTTCAAAATCGACCTATATAATTTCAATCACTTAGGAGGGAACATTTTATACCCTCTTTTTGTGAAATATTCCCAGATTAAACAACATACATCGCTGCATGTTACAACCCCCACCTTTTTAAAATTTAATGATTCTATCATTCTCTCTAAACAGGGCATCCAACAAGAAGACACCTTAGCGGCATTATTCTGTCAGGGCATTCAATTAATTATAAAGGAGATCTCTTCTAATTGTGATCTTAAATTAAATGGATGGTACCTAGACGATGGCACACTAGCGGGCTCTTATAACGAAATCATAAAAATTCCATCAATTATAAATGACATAGCCCCTATTACAGGACTGTCATTAAACCCTCATAAGTGTGAATTTTAATCCCCTTTTGAATCGAACTGCCACCAGAAAATTTTATTTCAGTGGACAAAGCTAACTTTACCCATCTATATTCACCCATTGGAGGAGAAAATGCTATATCTCATTTCAGATATGAATTCCTAGTCAAATTAAATATATTGAAAATATTTTCATACATTTGACTGCTCATCAGGCTTTTTATTTACTTAAAAAATTTTTATTCATCCCAAATATTTTACATACCTTCCATTCATCAACACTTCACTTCCCCCGAAATATTATTAGATCTCGTAGTCCAAAAAAATACTCTTGAATCTATTTTAAACATCAAATTCTCATCACTCACCTGGATGCAAGCTGCCCTTCCACCAAAACTAGGAGGTATAGGTATCCAATCCCCCATATTGAGCATTTCACCCTTTCTATCCTCTGTTGCTAAATTTCGATTTAAACTTGGAAACTTGGATTCCATTGACCCACATCATACGGTATCATTAGACCTCTGGAGCAAAAATGCAAACTGCCCATATCCAAATTCAATAAGACAAAGAGACTGGAATTTGCCATTGATACAGCATTGCCTCGAATATTTACACTTTAAAGCTGTTCAAAGAAAATCTCCATCTCTTTTTCTCCACCTAAACCCAACCCCAAATATACATAATGACTACAATACTTTTTCGCCAGATCAAATATATCCAGCCCCATTCACATGCCACCTGTGATATGAATGATTAGAAACTATACCTAGCTCTCTAAGCTTGCTACTTACCAATGAAGAACTCAGAATAGCTATTGGTCTTCGCTTAGGCTGCGAAATCGTAACGCCTACATCATGTGTCCTATGTGAAACTCACATTGATTGTCTTGGACACCATTTACTACACTATTGTATCTAAAAAGGCAGACTTCCTAGACACTCTGCTATCGATTCAATCATCAATAGAACCCTGAAATCCATAAATATTCCCTCTTCGCTGGAATCCACTGGCCTTAGCTCCGATAATCAAACCAAACCGTATGGAATGACGCTAGTCCCTTGGAACCAAGGTTTACCCCTCGCTTAGAATTATACATGCTAT